TTTGTTGTTGTTTGTTGTTGTTTGTTGTTGTTTGTTGTTGGTTGTTGTTGGTTGTTGTTGGTTGTTGTTGGTTGTTGTTGGTTGTTGTTGGTTGTTGTTGGTTGTTGTTGGTTGTTGTTGGTTGTTGTTGGTTGTTGTTGGTTGTTGTTGGTTGTTGTTGGTTGGTGTTGGTTGTTGTTGGTTGTTGTTGGTTGTTGTTGGTTGTTGTTGGTTGTTGTTGGTTGTTGTTGGTTGTTGTTGGTTGTTGTTGGTTGTTGTTGGTTGTTGTTGGTTGTTGTTGGTTGTTGTTGGTTGTTGTTGGTTGTTGGTGGTTGTTGGTGGTTGTTGGTGGTTGTTGGTGGTTGTTGGTGGTTGTTGGTGGTTGTTGGTGGTTGTTGGTGGTTGTTGGTGGTTGGTTGGTGGTTGGTGGTTGGTTGGTGGTTGGTGGTTGGTTGGTTGTTTGTTGGTTGTTGTTTGTTGTTTGTTGTTTGTTGTTTGTTGTTTGTTGTTTGTTGTTGTTTGTTGTTTGTTGTTTGCTGTTTGCTGTTTGCTGTTTGCTGTTTGCTGGTTGCTGGTTGCTGTTTGCTGTTTGCTGTTTGCTGTTTGCTGTTTGCTGTTTGCTGTTTGCTGTTTGCTGTTTGCTGTTTGCTGTTTGCTGTTTGCTGTTTGCTGTTTGTTGTTTGTTGTTTGTTGTTTGTTGTTTGTTGTTTGTTGTTTGTTGTTTGTTGTTGTTGTAGTAAGCGGACGGTTGCCAACAACAACAACAACAACAACAACAACAACAAGAACAACAACTGGCTCGTCTGCCGCTGCAGGGTGTTGCTTCAGAATGGCGTGTGCGCTTTGGAGCTGGCCTGCTGGTGCTGCTGCAGGGTGCCGGCGCGGCGCACCAGGGTGCTGCTTCAGGGTGTTGCTCTTAAAAAGGGTGTGTGTGCTGGAGCTGGAGGGCTGGTGCCGCTGCAGAGTGGTGTGTGCAATGTGTCGTTGCAAGGCGCCGTTGCAGGGTGTCGCTGCTGGGTGCCGTTGCAGAATGCCTCTTCAGGGTTATGCTGTCAGGGTGCTGCGTGAGCTTTGGGGTTGGGTTGCTGGTGCCGCTTCAGGGCGCGGGTGCCGGGTACTACTGTCAAAAGGGCTGTCTGCATCTCAGGAACTTGGGTGCTGCTACAAGGTGCGCGCTTTGGGAACTGGTTTGCTGTTGTCGCTGCAGGGGGCGGCCGTGAGATGCCTATGGCAGTGTGGGCGTTGGGCCCTGTTGGAGATCACGTTTATGCCGTAGCACAAAAGGCGAGTGCTTGGTTGCTACCCAAAAAATATTTTGCTGTCTGGGGTCTATGCCGGCGTAATTTTATTGAAAAAAACGTGCGCAACTCTTGCACTCACACGAGACAATGCAGCGAACACAATTGAAATCTACAGGAACTGATTCTAGATCATAGTTTCCCTCTGCATCCAATGTAAATCAAGATGGAAAAATGTTTCAATGTTTGCCTGACATACAATAGCACTGCGTTGCGCAGCACATTTGTCGGTGCTGAGCTTTCCAACTCTCAAACCGTGCGTAAAGACAAACTTATGGCAACCAAATCCAGCCAGACTGCGTGGAAACCTCAAAAAATACACATGAAAACTCATTATGGCATTTTTGATTCAACATTCCCGGAACAATTTCTGAAGATGTCTCGGGTTGGGACTTCAGAACCTGTGATTCAAAATCATGACAAGTGGGATTGGAAGTAGTGAAAAACACCAGTTCAGATGTTTCCGTCTGGTTACGAAGTTGTGTTGAGGGGAAACAAAGAGTTCTGACCGACATCACCGAAATCATCCACTTGTCCATTGCGGATCTCACAAGTTGGGACGATGTCGATCCAAGTTCCGACCCCGGTGGCCAAGAAATCAAACCAAACCCACGAGGCTTTGTTGTAGTTTGTTCAGTTGCTGCACAAATAGAAAACATTTTTTCTTTGCAATTTTTGGATCCTCTTTTAGGATCTTTTAGGGTTCGGTTGAGTTTCCTTTGTCTTGAAGATGGTACCCTTTGATTTGCTTTGGAAAATCAACATGTTTAATCGGTCAATCATCATAAATCATCTAAGTAAATGGGCCGTGGTTTCCAGTTCGCAGTTAAATAACCGGAGGGTATATCAATTGTTCATTCTCAATCCAAATTTAACCATTATTATCAACCATTAATTATTCATCCATTATGTAAATAATCAGAGGGTACAAGGAAAAATAGAGCAACACGCCTGGTCACTGAGGCCATCTTCTTGAAACTGTGCGCCGCAGGGCTCTGCATAGTTGTGCGGAATCCAGGTTTCAGATTTGGTTGGTGTTTGAAAATGGTGGTTGAATGATTGCCATAAATTGGAATATCTCCCATCTGTTACAGCCGCATGTGGGTGTTAAGAAATCCACACTAAATGCTGTATTTGTCAAAAAGACAAATCGCAAAATCGAATGGCAGTTTCATAGGAAGATCAAGCCTTCTGTTCTGGAGGTGCCAAAAATGTTGATTTGCAGTCATGCACCAAGTTGATCTGGATTCCACTTGAACATTGAATTGTTTCAAACACACGGCAACACGTAAGTGTGGATATGGGTTTGTCTAAATGGGGTACCGTACAATCTAGTGGTTAATGAGAATTTTCCCCATTAAAAGCATCTAATCGCCATTTTGGCAATTCAATCCCCCATTCATATTGTTTGTTTATATCCCATTACATCCCACTATATACCCATTAAAGCACTATGTTACTCATTGTTTAAACACTGGTTCAATTTTTAGACCCCATTTGTGATGTTTAAATCAGTATATCCGAATATTGCAATTTCATGGAGAACAGGGAACATGATGATTTATGAGTGGATACCTTGGGGTTCCCCCAAAAAATCTAGCAAATCCCTTCATAGCGAGCTGGTGCGAGGTTGGAACCATTGTTGGTATTTGTGGCTTTCTGACTCCTCTGGTGGCAGGTTGGGATGTCGCCATTACACCAGAAATGTTGGCATCAGCCAGATCAATGCAGAAGCGTCCGCATATTACGGGTTTCCTATTTGCCTCGTTGGCTTGAATGGCAGACGTATGCATCTTTGGTGCTCATCTCATGGTCGCTTCCCAGACTTGTTTCCCTAAATTTAGACTAAACATCATGGTTTCAAGCAGATTCTTACCTTTAAAAAATAACAATTAGTTCAGCTCAATTTTCCGTTTTGATTCTGAAATCCCATCTTTTTGTTGGGGGGCCGAAGCGGCGAAGTGGTGCCAGGTGTACCCTTGCGCGCCTGCTGGCGACTGCTTGGCTGGAGCCAGGCAGCTGGGAGCTGATCTCATCCCCAAGTTGCATGGAATATTTATATGGCTATGGATCAATACCTATTAATAGGTAGTTCACTTGAACGGTTTGTGTAAACCCCAGCGTAACGGATTCTGATCGCTGATGTGGCCTCTTTAGTCTCAAGTCTGGCATGCTCTGTGCCAAGTGTAGGCAGGCGACTCCTAGGTCTGACGATACTTGGTGTTTAGGGTGCAGTGCCACTGAGTCACTCAACTTTGAACTGAGTGCTCACTGGCATTGTGAGGGGTTGAGAGCCCTGAGCCACGAGGTTGTTGTGGGTGCCGTACGCACCGTTAGATCGCTGAGACTGATCTCGAGCGGTCTGAAGAGCGCTGAGGATTCTCGTGCAGCTCTGGAAAGGCGCACGCCACGGCCACTCCCTGCACCTCGTGGGCATTCAGTGCCTCCTCCTCCCCCAGCACCGCCGAGGGTGCCTAGGGAGCCCAAGCGTGAGGAGGAGAGTGAAGAAGCAGAAGAGAGCGAATCAGAAGAGGAGGAGCCTGCGGTGGGGGCTAGTGCCAAGTGTGATCCTTCTAAAGCACCGCCTGAGCCTGAACTTCCACCAAGGCATCAGCAATCTGATCGAGCCCCCCAAGAAGGAGGTCGAGGAGAATTCAATTCAGAACACCACAGGGACAAGAAGAAATCAAAGAAGAGAAAAGACCGTGACCGAACAAGAACTAGAGGAGGCAGTAAGCACCCTCGATTGTATCGGGTCCTGGAAAATCCAGACATCCAGGTTCATCGACGCTTGCCACCCAGTTTTCTGGACGAGCGCCCCTCGCTGGAGCCTAGAGGCTCCGTTGCTAGAGGGAGACGATGACAGTTGTAGCAGAAGAGGCAGGTGCAGAAGAAGGAGTGGGAATACATTACTCCTTACAAGACAGAAAGAATTGGGACAGCCTGGGGCCTGTGAGAGGCCAAATTCTGGAGGTGTATCTTCCGGATTGCATAGAGGGCGCCCCCGACATTTGGGCGGGGCTTTTGGTAATGCAGGTGGCAATGGACAGCACAGGAGAGCTCTTTGCCGAGGTCAAAAGCTTGGGGTGTTCAGACGCGCACTACACAAAAGAACTTTCTTCTATGTTCAACCGGCGAAGGGGTGTAGTTCATTTCTGCATGGCTTCAGACTGTCTGGAAGAGATCAATGGGTTGCACGTCACTCAAGTGGTCTTGCACGACCGAGAAGGCTTTCACAGGGCTTACATGACTCATGCCACAGTGCGGCAAATGAACAAGTGGTTGAGCGAAGACACAGCTCCTGGAGGTCTTGGCAACACCCTGATTCTTGGAGACACGCGTGGAGAAGGTACCGCGTTAGATGCGGGAGCTGCAGAGCGCCCAGGAGTTCTGAGGAATGTCAAGGACCCCAGGGTGAGGAAGGATCAAAAAGATGCAGAAGAACAAGAAGGAAAGCCACATCCTGGGGAGGCAGACAAATTCGGAGAGGAGAGAGCAGACAAGGCCAATGCAGTACCTCGCACACCTCCAGGGCATTTAGATGCAGATCAGAAGAAGAGATTGAGGGAGAGACTTGCCGCCGCCAGGGCCAAGATGGCTTCTGGGGAGCGTGGAGGCGCTGGCCACCCGGCCGTGCTGCCTGGAGGAGACGGACCACCCAGGCTGGAATCTTTGTCGCCCGGCTATACCGCCTCTGTGCTGGAAGATCAGATAGCAGCGGAAATGGAGGATCTCCACAGAGGAGAGGGCGCAGAAAAGAAACCAGAAAGGAGAGTCGAGGGGCCTGGAGAGAAAGGCAAGTCAGAGAAGAAGGCCAAGAAAGACCGAAGAGACGCCGTCAAGAAGGCAGAGCCGGCGGCTATAAAAGACATTACTACCAGCAACTTGCAAGACCAGCTGGCCCTGAGAGCAGCCACAGTGGCTCAGGAGCGTCAGAAGAAGAGGCAGATAGAGAAGAAGAAGGAAGATCGGGATCCGAGCAAAGAGCTGTTGAGGATCCTTACCAAATCCCTCGGCAAGAAGAAGAAAGAGAAGAAGACTGGCAAGAAGAAGAGAAAGAAGAAGAGGGGCTCTGGAGGAGGAGATCCGGGGGGTGGCCCAGGCAGTTCCTCAGGGAGTGGGGGGACGACGTCGAGCTTAGGAGCGAGCTCCAGAGGGTCTTCTTCGGAGAGCGAGAGCAGTTCGGAGGAGACAAAGCTCGAACCCCCTCTGAAGAGGAAGTCGAAGGAGAAGCCAGGATCAGTACTGCAGCTTCTGGTTCAGCACGCACGGGACCAGCTCGACCAAACAGCGAAGGTCAGCATCCTGGAGAAGACTGCAGATCCCACCAACATGGGGATCAAACTGGCCAGCTATTTCTCAATAGTGGTCCGACCACAGATGGGCCAGGCTATGGGCCCCCTACGAGAAATGCATATGCTGACTCAAGCCATGGACCTTCTTCGACAAGGACAGCTGGGGCTTTGCGGGGACGTTCTCGCAGGGCGTTTCATGTCGCTCCATCAGAGTGCTCTAGACGGCAGTTGGAGCTCGGCGAAGTTCCTGGAGTTAATGCCACTGGAAGATACCTCGGCCGCTGGATCAAGTGTAATCATGCAAGCTCGCAAGCACGCGAAACTGGCGGCAAAGGTGGCCAATCCCGACTGGGTGTGGGGAGCTGGCAAAGCGAAAGGAGGAAGAGGCAAGTCCAGCTCTTGGCAGGACTACGGAGGAGATGCAAAAGGCAAAGGCAAGAAGGGAGCAAAAGGTCGAGGGAAGTTCAAGGGAGGCTGGAGTGGGGCACAGGGATCAGAAGACCCAGACACCGGGAAGCGAAAGGAGAAGGTGCCAGAGAAATAGGAAGCATTGGAGACGCTCTGGCATCAGCCGTTGAGCAGCCTCCCCAACCGAACGGAGTTACAGAAAGAGGGAAGGCGATGAGTTTGAAAGAATCCATCGGCAGCTGCCGCAGCTTTGCTCAAGTAGGCTGCGTCTTGTGCTGGTGGGTCATTGCTGGAACTGAGCTCATTTTGGTTGAGAAGGCTGCAGTGAGTTTTTTGGGTGATTTTCTGCAAAGCAAGGTCGCCGACGTTCAGTCATACCAGATCAAAAAGCGCGGTATGATTTTTCCCTTGAGGGAGGGAGACTTGCATGAAGTGACGTCATTTTTGAAGCAGACAAGGCTGGAATGTGTTTTTGAGGACAAACTGGTGGAAGAGTGGTCAAGCAAGGCTTGGCAATACGTTGTGTTTTGTTGCTTGAACCGCTTGGCTGGAGCCGCGGCCTGCCCTTCGAAAGGCCGCTGGACTTTGTCCGAGCGTAGAGCCGCCGAAAGCATAGCTGGATACGTTCAGTCTAGGCTAGCTAGGGACCACCGTGGAGCTGGATTGTCCGAAGAGGCCTGGCAAAAAGAGCTAGCAAGCCGACAAGTTGGATATGGAGGGGAAGAGGTCTCGATTTGTCATAAACTGTCATGGGAACAGGTTCTTCCGGGACTTCCCCCTGAAACTCATGGTGGTTGTGTGGACTGTTTGGACTGGGTTGGTCCTAGAACTAGGGAGTTTCTTTTGTCACCCCAAACCTTGGTCAAAGATGTGGCAGAAATTTCACTGCCCGAAAGGATGGGAAGGATACATGCCGTCGAGGGTGACATTTTGAAGATTGCGTGTGAGTTGGTGCGTAGAAGGATTTGTACTTGGGTTCCACTGGATAACGTCTTTGAAGTTCGGGGGAGAAAAATCTTGAATGGACTTTTTGGTGTTGCAAAAACCACTACCCTGGAGAGCGGTGCCCCAATTTTGAGGTTGATCATGAATTTAACTGGCTCAAATTCAACACAGCGACAGTTATTTGGGGGGTGTAGTACATTACCCATGATCACTTCCTGGCAATCGATCGTAATGGAAGATGGCGAACGTCTGAACATGTTTCAGAGTGACATGTCTTCTGCATTCTATCATTTCGTTTGCCGTTGTGCTGGGCTCCATATCTTTGTTTCAATGTTACAGTCAAGGGAACAGACGTGGGATTGATGGACAACAGATTATTTGCACTTGGATGTTGCGTCATTCCAATGGGCTGGTTAAATTCCGTTGGGATAATGCAAGAAATTTCTGAGAATTTGTTGAAACATCAAACTTTGGCTTTATCATCGCAAGTTGCGAGAGGGAGACCCCTGCCACCATGGTTTACAGCGCTGCTGACAGAAGCGCGGTCTGACAACACTTGCTGGTGGCACATCTACCTGGACAATTTTTGTGCGGGCGAGCGCTTGGGGGCCTCCTCAGCCGGAGATTGGGGAAGACAGTGTCATGAGGCAGCAGAACGATGCTGGCGTGAGGCCGGAGTGATTTCCTCTGAAAAGAAGCGGGTGTCTGGAGAAGTTACGGTGCAAGAATTGGGGGCAGAGATAAATGGTGAGATGGGAACCTTGGGGATCAGCACAGCCAAACTGGAGAAACTATGCTTGACTACACTCTGGGCGTTAGCCCAACCAAGGATAGAACGCAAGACAGTCCAGATAATTGCTGGGCGCTGGATGTTTGCACTGCAATTCAAGCGGCCGGGTATGAGCCTGTTACAAGCTGTATGGAAGTATGTTGGAGGAAAGGAGAAGGCAACCGAGAAGCTGTTGAGGCAAGTCAGAGGGGAGCTCTTTTCCTTAGTTTGCTGTGCGCCCCTATTTCAATGCAATTTGAGAGCAGCAGTAGCCCCCCTGGTGGTAGCTTCGGATGCCTCAAATTCTGGAGGAGCTGTAGGGGTTTCTGAAACTTTGACTCAAGAAGGAAAAGATTTTGTGTCCACTACAGAACGCATTGAGCGTGGAATCCCTTGCAAGCCGGCTCCAGTATTACTGGTCTCATTATTTAATGGGATAGGTGGATGTTTTCGTGCCTATGACGTTGCAGGGCTGCTTCCAATGGGACGCATTGCCGTTGAAATCAACGAAGACGCAAATCGCATCACGGCCCGTCACTGGCCTGGTACATTACAGATCAAGGACATTCACACTGTTACACGCGACGTTGTCAGAGAATGGAGTGCTCGCTTTCTGCAGGTAGCGGAAATACATGTGTGGGCAGGCTTTCCATGCCAAGATCTTTGCGGAGCTAAGGCTGGGAGAAAGAATTTGATGGGGAAAAATAGCTCACTTTTCTGGGAAATTCCAAGAGTGGTGACATTGATAAAGGAGGAATTTGGAGCTACAGTAGTGGTGAAGGAAGTGCTGGAGAATGTCCAGTCCATGGACAAATCAGCAACAGAGGAAATCTCTAGGGCATTTGGTGCATGGCCCTACGGACTTGATTGTGTTGATGCTGTGCCCTTGCGACGGCCTCGTTTCTGTTGGACCACTGAGGTGATCGAAGGCGTCATCCCTGGGGTTGTGGTAGAATCAAAGAGCTATTGGAAGCAGGTACAAGCTCAAGCGGAATGTCCCAAGACTGAACAGTGGATTGACCCTGGTTTCCAATGGAATGGGGATGGAAAAGACATTGTATTTCCAACTTGCATGCGTAGCATACCAAGACAAGCGCCACCGCCTAAGCCAGCGGGGTTAGAAAAGTGCTCGGAAACAACAGTTCAGCGCTGGAGAGAAGACTCTTTTAGGTATCCCCCCTATCAATACCAACCTCAATACCTGCTTTGTTCTGAAGATTCATGGCGATTGCTCAATGCCAATGAGAAGGAACTCTTGTTGGGATATGGATGGCAACATACAAAAACGGCATGGAGTGCTTCGCGTATCAAACAGAATAGGGTGGGATACAGTGATGTTCGCAACAGTTTGTTAGGTGACTCTTTCAGCATTTTCTCCTTTGTAATTTTGGCGGTGGTTTGTTCAAAGCGTTTCCTCCCTACAATCCCCTACGTGGTGCTTGCCGGAAGAATGGGACTGGCCCCAGGGTTTAGAGCTGCTTTGAGGTGTAGTGCCCCTTTGGATAGGAGACTGCAATATGGTTTTTCAACGCAGGACGGAAGTTCAATTTCTGTGGAACACCTCAATAGGCTCTTGTTGAGAAAAACCAATCATACGGGGTCAGATGTCAGAGTCATTACGGGGGAGATCATGAACGCCAAGACATATCCACGTCAATCAGTTGCAGCGCAGTGGTGGCATTGGAGAGAAGTTTTTAGTAAGAAGTGGGGACACAAACAACACATCAACTGTTTGGAATTGGAGTCCATTTTGATGGGGGTGAAATATCAAATTCTACATCACAGAGTTCTGGATATGAGGATATTTCAAATCAGTGATTCGTACGTTGCAATCAGCGTGGTTAGCAAAGGGAGATCTAGCAGTTGGAGGCTTCAGAAGATTCTCAATAAGGTTTCTGCTCATCTGTTGGCGTTTGGGTTGCAGTTAATTCTTTCTCACATTGAATCAACGGAAAACCCCACTGATGTTGGTTCAAGGCGGTATGGTGGCTAGGCTTATAGCAGGACGTTTTTCAAAAGCGGAAAGAGCGCGTCAGCGTTCAAAGATCCATTTGGATGATGCCGCGCTGTCTGTGAAGACGCAGCAGCGGTATTATTGTGCTCTGAGGAAACTGTTGCCTACCATCGAACGATGCAAATGTGCAGATGATTTGGATTTAAAGATATGTAACTGGATTCGGCGCATGTGGAAATCCGGAGAACCGTTGGTATATATTGGGGATGGTTTGTGTGCCATGCATTTCTTTATGCCCTGGTCAAAAGGAAAAGTCCCAGGAGCCTGGAAGTTGTTTGCCGTCTGGAGAAGATTAGAGATCCCCTCGCGGGCTCCACCACTGACTTGGGACTTAGTGAAAAGTTTTAGCTCTTACGAACTTTCACTGAGACGACATGAAATGTCTTCTTTACTCCTCCTTGCCTTTCATTGTCTCCTCAGAACTGGAGAGCTGTTGCAACTGTACCCAGAAGACATTTTACTAGGACGTTCCCATGGAGTTCTTTCGCTCAAAGGAACAAAGTCAGGAAAAAGAAATGCTGCTAATGAAAGCATCAGTATCACCAACGAGCTAGTGGTGGAATCTTTGCGTTCACTGCTTAGCTACCGCCGACAATGCGGTGGTCCCAGTCAACCACTGTGGTCATCTTCCCATGCTGCCTTCCGCTCACGCTTCAAAGTGCTGTGTGACAGATTTGATGTCCAACATCACGCCTTTAGACCCTATTCGCTCCGACGAGGAGGAGCGACAGACCTCTTTCAAAGAACAAGATCCATGGAATGCGCATTGCTGCGTGGACGTTGGGAGAGTAGCCGTGTTGCCCGCATTTATATCAGTGATGGTTTATCATTCCTGCCTTCCTTGCGTTTCACACCTAAGACCCAATCTATGATGAACAGATTTTCATACGCTTGAGGGCATTTCACCGTTCTTTTTCTCAAACTGCTCAAGCAGTTCAACTTCACTTCCGTGAGGGCGCGTGGATTAGCTGGACTTTTTGTCCGTGCTTGGAGTTTTCTTTTTCGCAGATTGGAATCAGAGCCTCTTCCATGAAGCTCATATAAGCCTTTACCATAAGGCTGGATGACAAGGAGTTATTTCTGTCTCTACCATGAGACAAACTTTAGATCTCAAAGCTGATAACCTATTGGCACGAGACAAACGTCTCACAGCAAAGCCTTCAAGTTGGCGACAGAAAAAAAGAGGAGCTGCGTGGTGCACACAACCATTTTTAGTGGAATGAACATCCATTTACCAGCTATTTTGATGTTCACCAGGGGGATAGGGTTTTGACCCATCCCCATATGTTCCCATGGAATATTTTTTTCATGGTGAAGATGATGGGAACATGATGGGAAATTCATGGGAAAATGAGGGGAAAGTGATGGGACAACTACTGTATTTTTTTAGTTTTTCCCCCTATTTTTTTTGGGACACCTAAAGACTTCGATACTCTTGTTCTTCTGATGTTGGTTTCGATAGCGGTGGATACTCGTCTTGATTCACCCATCTACAGAATTTGAATCGGAAGATCTGTAAGAGACCAACTGGTTAAACACCATACTTTCCTGTAATATGTGGTGATAAACACCATATTTTTCCTGTTAAACACCATATTTTCCTGTAATATTTGGTGATAAACACCATATTTTTCCTGTTCAACACCATATTTTCCTGTAATATTTAACTGGCTAAATCAATGCCTTGAACAACATGCTGTTAACTTCACGACCGTTGCCAGGAGCCCTTGCTGCAGGAAATTTGGTGTTCGGGGTCCAAGAGATGACAAAACATGCAGGCGATTGCAAAGCACATGTGTCGAATGTGTCCAAAGCTATGATTTTTCATATGGGTATGGATCAATACCTATTAATACCATTTTTAGGGGGATGAACATCCATTTACCAGCTATTTTGATGTGAACTACAGGGGTACAAGGTTTTGACACACTGCGATATGATGGGATAAACATCCAGCCATAGACTGATTTCGATGTGGAAGGGTGTTGAAATGAGCGGGATGTAAAATGGATCCAAACGGTAAATCATCATTTCACATCGTTTTCTATGGGATGTTTCTACGACGGGGAGTGGCCACCGAGTCGCTCCGCGACGTTTGGTCTTCGCGGCCCTGCTTGGTGCAGCAAGTTGCACAAGCTGTGGGGGGTCCTGAATCCGATGGGTGGGCACAGGTCAAGATTTTAAGAAACACACACCTAGGATTGATTCTTTCTAGTGTCCAGTTGCTATTCACCAATTTTTGAGTGGTGTCTTTGAGCTGACTGGTGCCTCCAATTTTTTGGGCACCCCCAAATCCCGCAGGTTATCATCTTATTCCCTACACGGTCATTTCTGTGGATATTCCACATTTTTTGGGCAAACCCTTGAAGCTCTTTGTCCAAGGTTTCGTTTGGGGTGTTTGGCCGCTGCCCCAGTCATTGGAAGCTTGATCGGTGGCGTGAAGAATGTATAGAGCCCCCCAAAAAGATAGACATGTATTCTTATAATGATCTATTATTTTAAAGCTATGAAGGCTATGTACTTAGGTTTTTTTTGAATCTATCTTTTTGGAGGTTGAAGAGTTGTAGATGTCACAATTGAAGCCCTTGCCCAGGTCAGGTGAGTCGCCCCGCTGGCGTGCCATTTCTCTCTTAGCCTGGAGCTGAGGGTAGCAGGGTAGCGGTGCAGTGCATATCATGCTTGAGAATGGTGAATCATTCTTGCTACCATTAAATGTATGAGCTTTCTCCTGTAAGGATAAACCCTTATTGCATCAAACGTTGAAACTGGAATGTCCAGTTGTCGCATCTCAGATTCATGTTTGACCTGAAGTCGGGCTCAGCTCTTTTGTCCGTAGCCATTTTGGCTCAAGCCATTTTGGCTCAAGTCGGGCTCAGCTCTTTTGATTTTTCGTCCACATCTCACGTTTTTCCGTGGTGCCATGGAAGAGGTTCACAGTGCTCCTCAGGGATTTTTGGAGACGAACGTCGTCTATGTCCCGAAGGAGGCCGCGCTGCCGGACATTGCAGTCCACGGGCTTTTCACCTTCGTGGAGGACCAGACGTTGGCCGAAGTCCGTGAGTCGGTCGAATGGCACACCTGTGCCCCTGGCCGTCTGGAGGCCGTGTGCCTGTGGGTCCGGGATGAGACACCTCCCGTGTCCAAGCGCAAAGCCTCTCCTGGCGATGTGGACGATGAGCCCGACCATGGGGATGACACAGCAGCTTCAGTGGCACCTGCCACCCCTGTCCCATCGACAGGTGCTACCACCGTTGGCGACGAAACCCTCCGCAAGGTGGACCACAAGCTGCTCTACATGCTGTTGGATCTCCAGGGGCAGTTCGAACAATTGCAGCACGAGGACGCAGCTGGCGCTGCCTTTGGCCTGCTCAAAGAGCGATTGGGTCAACTCACCACTGACGACGTCAGGGCGATCAAGCGCCAGAAGGTGCTGCGAGCCGAAGCTCCTGTTCGGACTTCCTGGGATTGAGCATCCCCTTGCCTCCACAGAACGGGGTTTGGCGAGGCAAGGTCTTTGATGACTGAACTTTGACTGGTTGCAATCGTTGCTCGAGCCTTGCACTTTGCCATGACAGTGGTTTTTGAAGGATTGACAGTGCTCGGCATGGACAGCTTTTGTGATCAGTTAGGTATGCCGTTTAGCAATCATTGCTCGAGCCTTGCACTTTTTCAAGACAGTGGTTTTTTTTTTGGACGGCCGGGGCCAATGGGGTTTTGCACCATTTGACCCAACCCTGGCCGTATGGTGGATGTGCAATCTTGCAGGTGCTTGGAGGATCGTGGCACAGCCTTTTGGACTTCCTGCCCATGGATTGCGGCCAGAAGTGTCGTTGCTTCGATGGCAAAGCCCATGTCTCACCTGTGTTTATGGCAAAATGTGAGTAGCTGACCCGGTTGACCATTGCAGAGTGTCTGCGAGTGCAGGATGTCTGCATTGATGGCATGGCATGTCACATGTCGATGTATTTCAACCTGGTTTGGCTTAAGTGATTTTCGGTGACGCGCTGACACCTTGGGGGCCATTGACTCAATTTCCCAAATTGTTTTTCCATTTGCGAAATCACATGGATGTGAGCCTGGTTGCATAATGGACCCCCCAATGTTGATTGTTGACTGTCCCAGGCCCTGTCAAGTGAGTGTGGCATCCATTCACGTGGAGGCATTGGCCTTGGAACGGGTGCCTAGCGCCGAATTGTTGCAATGTGGCACATGTTTTGTTGGGATGTCCATGACATATCACCCAGTTTACCCGGATGTCGGTGTAGGTGGTGAGCATTACGGCGCGCCACCCTCAATTGAATTCTTGTGCAGATTGTCATGTAACCACGCCTTGAATGATGTGCTGATGTATCACAATGTTCAAGGTTGGACGTGACCCGGTGGCGTCATGATCTCAGAATAGAGTGGGGATGTCCCTCCATATTTTTCTTTTGCATGTCCTTGCTGAGATGTCCAGCACAAGAAAGCATGCTCATCCGAATGTTGGCACAGGTGGTTGGAGCTCATTTTGCACCGGCCTCATTTGATGTTTTTGCGTTCTCCATCCTGTCCATGTTTCTCACATTTGATGTTAGCATACCCGGCGTCGCCTCAGGTGGCATCAGACCCGGTAGTGCCATGTGCTCAGGGCAGGTTGAGGATGTCTCGATTGCTCTGCTGACTCAGTTTTCTTTTGGCTGATCGATAGTGTTGCATCATCCAGGCCTGGACTCGTTGTGAGGCAGGAGACCCTGACCAGGCGGGAATGTAGGGATGTCCTACATGCATGCAATGTGCATTGAGGGCAGCCTGCCGGCTTCACTGGCAGGAGCTGTAGACGTGGTTGCGCGGCAAGGGCACTGTGCCGAGGACCGAGCGGTGACTTCCAGCTGCAGGCTGGAATACTGAGCACCACAAGTGCACAGGAATATCTGGATGCTTCAAGTTTCCTTGGTTCATGAGATATCATATGATTGGACAACTTTCAATCGGACAGGTTGCCCCCATGGGAGCACATGCTTTGCTCCAAACGGGCCATCCTGAAGCAGTTCAACCCTTGTCTGAACGTGAGAGGGTGCTGATGCATGCAATGATGGAAGAATGTCATCATAGTTGTGCGTCGGCTCCTGACATATCCATGCCCTGGGAATTGCCAGCACTGTCAATGGTTTTTGGAGAGCCGAATAGACCAATCATTCCTCCGATCAGACCCGTATTGGGGTATGTGGAGCCACCCAGTGGTGATGTTAGAACAGAAGGTGTTGTGATTGTGCAGCAGAAAGCCACTGCCTTCGAACATGCAATCAGCTTCAATTCCAAGAGGACTTGTCATCTCCCAGAATCAGAGCAGCTCCTTCTTCTGATTCAGAAATGGGAGGCAGTGGTCTCCATCGAACCTAGAGCATTCGACCTTGGGGTCAATGTTGTGGACCTAACCTATGAGGAGCGGTTGTCGGTGGTCAGAGAAGTCCTTGGAGGAAAGGCCATTGCAACCGTCCGGCAACGACTTGGACAGTTGGGCCAGTACATCAAGTGGGCAACAGAAGAGGCTCGACGCCCTCCATTTCCGGTGACATCAGAGCTCGTCAAAAACTATGTGAGACATTTGAGAAACCATGATGCCACTTTCTCGAAGTACACAGGTTTCCTGGAGACACTCAAGTTTTCGAAATACGTTGTGGGCCTCGAATGTGATCTGGAGGCTTTCAAATCGGCCTGGGTGTCAGGCATCATGCGAGCAGCTGGACAGAGCAGGCCATTACGCAGACAATCCACGGTGCTGACAGTGGATGCTCTCCTGTTCCTTGAAGCCTTGCTTGAGGATTCTCAAGTTGCCGGAGTCGACCGGTACGCAGTTGGAGTCATGTTGTTTGCGACATACTCCCGGGCCAGATTTGGGGACCTCAAGAGCATCGCCTCCATCCTCATTGACGAGGTGCCTCCGAACAAGGAGGAGAGCATTGGCTTCCTGGAGATGCACTCAGCATCCCACAAGATGCGGGCTACGGGCAGCCGCCTAGGCTCCCATCTGCCCCTGGTGGCCCCACTGAAGGGTTTGGGACCGACATCGTGGGGAAAGACCTTCATCAAGATTGGCAAGGAGGTCGGTCTGGACATGGGCAAGTGGGATCCTTACTGTCCACTATTGCCTGCACCTGACCAGATGGGAGCATACCGACAGACCGACTACATCAGGCGAAATCAACAGATGGATAAAGCAGATACTACTGCCCTGTGAGTTTGACGCATCTGGCTTCACCCCTCATGGCTGCAAGGCTACAACATTGGCCATGTTATCGAAGTATGGTGTAGAGGCTGAAGTTAGACTGGCATTGGGCCATCACCAGATCCGCAAGGGGGCGGCTGAGGTGTACGCAAGGGACACCCAGTCTGCCCCCCTGAGGGTATTGGAGTCAATGTTCCGGGACATCAGACGAGGTCACTTCCAACCAGACCAATCTCGGTCGGGCATGTTCCGCAGGGAAGAACATGAAGTGAATCCTGCGCCAGCACAGGACCTTGGTCTGGTGACGGATGTGCCTTTGCCGGCACCTGAAGAGGGGTACTCTCCTGGATCACTCGCCGAGAGCTGGAACCTCGAGACGCCTGGGATCCCAGCAGTTCCTGCAGCCATGGAGCCATCAGAGGCAGTGGATACAATCTCTTGCAACTCAGATGATAGCAGCTCCTCGAGCGACTCCGAGGCTGACAGCTGTGCAACAGAGACGCTGGAGGAACAGGCAAAGGACGCGCCAGAAGCCCATGCACCTGCCCAGAAAAGCACACCGAAGATGTATCAGCACAAGAAATCAAAGGTGGTGCGCTATGCATCCTGGTCTGGCACGGCCTTCACATGTGGTCGACAGTTGACCCAGGAGTATCGGCAGTGCTCTGAAAGACTTGTGGTGGAGTCCATGAGATGTCAGAATTGCCAAAGGCGAGTTGACAGCCGAACTCGCGACCATGACCTTGAGAACATGGAAGCCGTGGTCAAACGCTCAAGGCGTCAGTAGGAGAGCTTTCTCCTGTAAGGATAAACCTTATTGTATCAAACGTTGAGCGGAAAAAAAAAGAGTGCGCCAACACTTGATGGTCTGGATCATGCGATGTGCATGCATGTCGATTGCAGAACATTCATGTCGTCTCTTGCAATCCGCCTGACCTGGCATGATAGTATGTGCATCAATGCCGCAGCCAAAGAAAAACAACAAAAAATAATATTTTGTTTTGATCCAGGTACAATACTGACAGTGCATCATGACATGTCAATTTCAATACAAGATTTTCTTTCAACCATCTTAGCTCTTCGACATGGCAACAATCCTGGAGTCTCCAGCGGCATTTGAAGCAAGAGCACTGGAGCATGGAATCACGACAGAACAGTTGGACAGACTCAAAGCGAAGGGCTTGACAAATCTGTCCAAATTGGCCTTTTCCATCTCGACACCAGGAACTAGTCCGGAAGATGAATCCCTGAAATTGTTGGTCCACGATGATCCAGATTTGGTCACTGTAGGGCAGTTGGCTTCAATCAGGAGGCTCATGTTTGATGCACAGACACTTTGTGCGGCACAGGTGAAACACATTCTGGCAGGGACAGAATCTACTCGAACATCAGAACTTGTCCCAGCAGAGCGAGCCCAGAGGATTGAAGCCCAGAGAGCCCGACTTGCAGGGATGGAGCTCACTGGGCCATTGGAATGCTCCCACCAATCATACTCCTACGTTGGAAAGATGGTAGAAGCAAACGTTCCGCATTACCTGGAACCGCACCGGTTCACCACAAGGGCTTCTGAAGTTGCAAAGGAGAAGCCGGGCAAGGAGCTCATCCTGGATCAATCGAACCTGGTGGTCAAAGATGTGGAGCGAAAGGATCGATGCACCCTACAAGGGGACTTACAGGTGTTCCAAGCGCTCACTCGGCGCTCATTGGCTTGTGATCTGATGGGGGTCTGCTCTTTCAAGAACATGGAGCGGTGGCACCGTTTTCTCATGGATGCTACGCAGATTGCGGCGCCAGGAGGATACAAATCTCCGACCACCGAGCAGATCCTCCGTGCCGACAGAGCTGCATGGGTGAGGATGGCAGAGCTTGTGCCTAGTCTCAGACGGCAAGCGGATGGCACATTGCCGTTGGATGCAGCACTTGATGCACTGCGCACAGATCCCACCGTGGTGTTCCACATGATGCCTTTGCCAGCAGCCACCAGCAAGCCAGACAAGCCAGTGCCTCCGAAGCCACAACCAGTCAAGAAGGATACGCCAAGCAACAAGGTGCCTGGTGGCGGCAAGGCCAAGGGAAAGGGCAGAGGCAAGACCAAGAGCAGCAAAGGACGTATGCCGGCTGAACTTGTTGGCCTTCACCAAAACATGAAGAATGGCAAACGTCTGTGCTACAATTACAACCTGGACAAGGGTTGCTCCTATGCGGAGGCAGGCAAAGAGTGCATGAAAGGGGCACACTTCTGCATGCGATGCCTGGGCCAGCACCCTGCTCATGAGTGCCCAAACAAGCCGGTGGGTTGACTCCCCACTGGCAAGCAGCACATCGCGACCACGGACTGTGCTGCTCATCAACATCCCAGTGGTCAATCAATGCAGCAAGAAATTTCTGCCAAGCTTCCTGTGGCGAATCGCGACAGACAGGCTGTAAGCACAGAACACCATGACCAATCTGCAGGCCGAACTGTCAAGCGGAAACAGACATGTACAGACGATTTTTCTTCACAACTGGCCAGTCGCATCAAGGGCAAGCCCTTTTCTCAATTGCTGGTCATTGAAATTTTTTCCGGAACCGGTGGGCTCACTGCCGCTGTCCGCAAATTGGGCATGACACAATCTCTGGGTGTCGATGCACACGTCACGAAACAGGTGAAGGCACCCATCATCAGGATCAATCTGGCCGAAACAACAGGCCAACGCCTGCTTTGGAAGATCCTTGACAATGACAATGTGGTAGCAATTCACATGGGACCTCCTTGTGGTACCTCCAGCAGGGCTCGCGAAATCAAGAAGGGCAAGCGGTACAATCCTCCGCCTCTTCGATCCAATGCCCATCCAGATGGGTTACCAACATTGTCAGGAGTTGCCCTTGACAGAGTTACCACAGCCAATCGCCTATATCTACTGTGCAGTGAAATCATGGCCTGGGCAACCCAACGGGGCATCATGGCCTCCATTGAGAACCCACTACGTAGCCATGCCTGGGACACATCACATATGCAGAAACATTTGGTGGGACTCCAACTTCATGAGGTCGTCTTCCACCACTGCATGTATGGGGCTACAAGGAGGAAGCGCACCAAACTCCTGTGCAATCACCGGTGCTTGTTGCCCTTGGCATTACAGTGTGACAACTCTCATGACCATGAAGGATGGGGCATCGCTCCGACAGGGCAATGGGCTACAGCTTCTGAGGTCGAGTACCCGCACCAACTCTGTCAAGCCTGGGCGCAATGCCTCAGGAGGTGCCTCCTGGAATATGGTGCTGTTGAACCAGCACAAGAGCTTGGCACGGATACGGATATTCCCTTGGTGCAAGCCAGCCGTGCAGCAACTGGCATCCAACCAAGGGGTAAGAAACTTATATAGACCCCTGATGCGGGAATATGCCAACCTTATCACAGTGCGGGGTCCTCAACAAGCCTTGTTGCAGTTGCCCATCAAATGCAGTACAGATTTACATCTGCCCAAGCAGTGCTCCTTCACACCTTCAGTGCCCTTGATACCTGCACAAGCCAAACGGATCAGGCCTCCATACCAAATTGGGGACAAGGCGGAGTCTGATCAATGGGAAACAATTTATGGGGTCGCCTGGACGCATGAAGCCTTCATCAAAAGGGCAGCAGGTCGATCCCATCCTGGTCATTTTCTTGATGGAGTTCACCCGGTCCTCAAAAACATGTTCGAAGACGAAGCCCTGAGATCCACTGCTGACAGAGCCATCAAGCGATCAGAGCAGATGAGGAGGTGGATCAGCAGGGCCCAGGAACTGGATGCAATGGGGGTGGATGGCAAAGAAGACTCGCCAGCCCACGCTCGTGACAATCTTACCAAGAAAAACCTACGGCTTTTCCATGAGATGATAGTTGCCTCGGGATCTCCAGATGTTGGGCTTGCTTCAAACATTGCCCGTGGTTTTGACCTCATGGGCGACATCCCTGTGGGGTCCATCTATCCTGGAAAGGCCACCCATGCCACTCTGCTCCCTCAACAGGTGCGAGAGATGTCCAGCACGGCTCGTGCGGCCATTTGGGAAGCTACAAAGAGAGCTCCAGAGCCTATGGTTTCTGAGGAGGTGTACAAAATCACCATGGAGGAGCGTGACAGGGGTTGGTTGCGTGGCCCCCTTTCAATGGACCAACTTCCACGAGATGCGGTGTTGTCAAGGAGATTCGGGGTCAAGCAAACCTCCACCTTGGCCGATGGTAGCAGGATCACCAAGGTCCGACCGATAGATGATTTCTCTGAAAGTCTTGTGAACTCCACCAACTCATGCAAGGAGGCGATACAGCCCATGGGTGTGGATGCCATACTTGCGGCTCTGGCGTTTCGAGATCAAGCCTGGGGCAGAGAGGAGTTGCGGGCCAAGACAATTGACTTGAGGAAGGCCTACAAAAACCTGCCACTTTCGGAGGAGGCAACAGGGGATGCATACTTGTGTGTCCTGTGCCCGACGGATGGGCAACCGAGAGCCTTCCAGACCCTTGTGTTGCCCTTTGGCGCCAGGGCGGCGGTCATGGGTTTCTGCCAGACCTCCTACGCCATCTGGAGGATTGGGGTGTCGATCTTCGCCCTGCACTGGACGGTCTTCTTCGATGACTATTACTTGGTTGCCTCTTCACCTGAAATCAGGCATGTTGACATGGCACAGCAATTGCTGTTCAGGCTCCTGGGCTGGGAAACCTCCTCGGAGAAGGAGGGTGACTTCCTGGCGATCTCTAAGATTTTGGGGTACAGATTGACCTCAACGAGTCAAGGCTGGGTCGCTTTGCAGTCAGCAATGTTGAAGCAAGGGTCAAGGAACTGGTGGCCAGCATCGATGCAATTTTGTCCAGGGGGACCTTGGCAGCAGCTGAGATGAGGGCCCTAAGGGGCCGGCTGGTGTTTGCAGAGGCTCAGATATATGGGCGCCTAGCAGGTCTCCACATGCAGCACCTTGGGCGTTGGGAACATGCCATGGGTGAGACAGCAGTCGATGTGGAACTAAGGGCCAGCTTGGAGTTTATCAGAGATCGGGTCATCTGCGGGGAGCCTAGGATGGTTGATGCCAGCAACGGCCGTGTCTTCCATCTGTACACTGATGCCTGCTACGAAGATCAATGTGGTGGTGTTGGTGGTGTCCTGATTGATGGGAGTGGAACCATGCTCTCATACTTCTCGGCACAGATATCTCGGGATCAAACCGCGAGGTTGAATCCCCTCAACAAGGACACAATCATCTTTGAGCTTGAAGCCCTGGCAGCCTGGCTGGGAGGACACATCCTACTTCCATCTGCGGCCATCCAGCCAAACGATAGAGTGGTAGTCTTCCTTGACAATGATGGTGTGCTTGGTCGTATAATCTCTGGCAAGAGTGGGCTTGGATTGGATGGCGCAATCATCAATGGAGTTCTTGAATGGGAATATTCGCTCAAAGCACTTGTCTGGTACGAACGAGTTCCTTCAGCTGCCAATATTGCAGACCCACCTTCTCGGGGTGAACTTGCTGGCTTCCGTAAAGAACTGAGGGTAGAACTGGACATTGACTGTGCTCTGAACGAACTCCTGGACTCAAGCCGTGATGCTTGAAATATATACAATCCAATCGTAGCAAGCCCATGTGACAATGTGTCATCAACAGTTGGCGATGTGTCGACTAATAAAATAGGGGAGGGCAGTCGACGACAACCCCGCTGTGTGTCAAAAAGAGCTGAGTTGTCAATCTGAAGATGTGCGAGTGAGATGCAATAAGAGCTTTCTCCTGTAAGGATAAACCCTTATTGCATCAAACGTTGAAACTGGAATGTCCAGTTGTCGCATCTCAGATTCATGTTTGACCTGAAGTCGGGCTCAGCTCTTTTGATTTTTCGTCCCACCCACCCTATACCCCTCAAGTTTGTTCACTCATGTTTCATTCTCGGCATGCATGTCCCATGTGATCTTGACCATGTCATAAAATTTTTGTCCTTCAGGCCAAGTGTGTCCGACTCAATTTTCCCTGTTGTGCCTGACCTCATGCCGCCGTCGCTGCAGCTGCTGTTGCGACCTGTGCTGCTCATCGAGGGCTGCGAAGCTCGCCTGCAGGCCAATCTCGACTGCCTGCAGACCATGGCCAACGAGCTTCCCACGAGCTTCGATCAGCCTCGCCTTCATCTGAACCAGGCCATCCGATCTGTCAATTTGTGCCTGGATGAGCTCCGATTAGCCAAGCTAGTCGCCTTCATCCATTTTCTTCAACGTTTAAAAGTCTTCATTACCAAATACCGCAAAATGCCTGCGGTCGAAGACTCAGAAAGCTCGGAGCCATGATGGCCCCCTGATACAGAGAAGATTAGCATGGCCCTGACAGTTCCAAGTTGCGATGGCCTCGCGATACAGAGAAGATTAGCATGGCCCAGGCACACCTTTTGTGACATTCTCCAATCCTTGTCAAACTTTGGAGCCAATTGAGCCTACCCTGCCGTACGGGCAGTCGACGACAACCCCGCTGTGTGTCAAAAAGAGCTGAGTTGTCAATCTGAAGATGTGCGAGTGAGATGCAATAAATATATTATATATATATATATACTCATTGATTTAACCATTGATCAACCTTAGCCATTGATCATTTGCCATAAATGGTTAACGATGGTTGATGATGGTTGATAATGATTGATAGTGGTTCATAGTGGTCAAGAATGCACCAACTTGGTCAAAGCTTTGCATCGTAAAGTCTTCAAATGGTGCATATTTCGGGGCGTCGATGATCATTTTGATGCATACCCAAGTCGACACAGCGTTCCTGGTCGATCTTGGAGTGTGTTAGTTGCTTTGCATTGGGGTGGTCTAAATCTTGCTGTAGTGACACCTTAAGGGCCATCATGTCTGCATAGGGCCTTTTCCATCTGTAGCAAAACTCGAAATCCATCCTTTTGAGCGCAAGATTGGGCGTGTCTGAGGCCTGCAATGTCCTGATTTTTGCCATCATGTCTGTATATAGCTTCCTGCGCTTCAAGGCCTGCCTTTTGCGCCTTTTGGGGGTCGATCCAGTCGATCCAGTACCAAAATCTGCGCAGGGGTCGCGAGGGTCGCCGAGCGAAGAACCGGAAGCAAATGGGCCGAAGAAGGCAGGAAGGACTTGCGTTGGGACCCAACGTTTCTTTAATAGGACTTGATGGGAAAGGTTTGTCAAGAATAGGATCCTCCCAAATCCAAGTGGTTTAAAGATTCATTTTCCCCATGAATCTAGAACTTATGGTTTTTTAAATCACAATTGTTTGGACAAGCCCGGCTTGTGGAAAGGCACTTGGCTCCACGTAGCCTAAACTCAACCCATGGGTTTCACTGAGATAGTCAGATAGTCCAATGCTGGATGATAATAAAATATTATAAATGGGTTTTAAATGGGTCCTGGGTCCTCCATTTTTAAGGACCAGCTGCATTTGCCTTTCATTTCTGCATGTCCCAGCCCTGTCCCAGCCAGGCTTCCACTGGGGTGACCCAGAGCTTTCAGCAAATCGAAGTAGATGGGTTGGAAGCTCACCAGTGGTATCCAGTGGTTATGCTTGGACCTGCTTCGTGTATGATTTGTATGATGTTGGTGCTGGTGATGGTGGAGCTGGTGATGGTGGCCATGATGTGTTCAGCTGTTGCGGTTGTTGTCATGGAGAAGTTCGGCATGTAGAATACTGCTGGTTCTGGGTAACTTCAGATGAACAGTCCAGCGTTTGAAGATCAACAACGACAGAACACCAAACCAGACATTCCCCTCAGTTTGCTTCTGTTAGACTCAACATTCCCTTCTGTTTGCATTGAAACATGGTTGAATAGCCATCACATACTAGAGTTGTGAGGGATAATGATGAGAAACCACTCAGTGGAATTGGGTATTTTTCTTTACATTTCCAGGTGCCACCCCCCTCGTTTTCCCAAATCTCCCAGCAGCAGCGCCATGTCGAGGCGAGAAGTGACTTTGCGAGTCTTCCTGCCTGCGGAGAATGGAGGTCCTCGCGATGCTTCTGCCCTCAAAAAGATGGAGAAAAGGTTGACTTTACATGATTTTACCATGATTTTCCAACTGGGTGTTGCCAAGATCTATCTTTCTGAGGGTTGCTGGACCCATTACAAAAATCTGAAAAGTGGTATTTGGCCATCTGGTGAAAAGAATTGGAATATCCGCGGTGCACGAAACAGCCCCAAATTGTTGCGATTGATCGGCGAACTGTGGACAGGGGCAAATTTTTGTGAGGGTCCATTGATTCAAGCTGTTCTTCCTCTACAGATCCAGGAATTGACAGGCCCAAACTATCCGCTGGGGGTTTGGGTTTGCTACGGCCAGCTACAGGAGGAAAGAAGCAAAAACCGCCGGCCGTGGTGATGGTTTGTGGCTTGTTGTGGCGAGGAAACTCAGGAAAGGAAATGGATGTGTCCGAAAGTAGGCTACCCCAAACGTTGATCCTATTGGTGAAGCGCTTTTCAAAAATGGGCCCAACCACCATCTGGACATCCAGAACATACGTGTAGTGTTGTTTAGTTGATCCCATCCGCCCAATATTAAGCATGCCCCCTTGTATGGTCCCAAACATGTGTAGATGCCCTACTAAACCAGGGTTTCTGGGAGCTGTTCGTAAGAAAAGTGGGATGGGACTATATCGCCATCAACGTGTTGCTTTATATCAATTTGTACCCAATTATCCCCATTATCTTGGCTCCACCATATTGTTGCTTGGTTATATCATGGTTCTATCCTATAAAATCGCCTAAACTGATGGTTTCGTAAGGCTTGGTGAGGGCCTTCTGGGCTTCATCGGTCTGAACTTCAACGACGCCTTCGGCTACGCCTTCGCGCGCCAGGGAGTGTGCCAAGCTCGGACCCGTCGGTGGCCATTCCTCCAATTGGGGATGTAAGGGGGGGGGTAGAATGGGGATATAAAGCGCACACATTGCATGGAATATACATAAACAACTGACCAACTCGAGATCATATTGGGGTGTGTCTGCAAATCGGGTATCGAGTCTGTAAATTATGTATTAATTATTACCCATAAAATAAGCACGGCAGTTTTGATGGGCACGATTTGGTCCCAAAGCATCATAATTGCGACATTTTTGCTAAGATAAATTTTTATTTCACAACCGGCAAGTGATTTTTCCAATGCTTTGGGCTCAAGTGAATTTCCATCGAATTTCATGAAAATTCAGGGGGATGAAGCCAGTTTAAGTTAAGTTCCGGCAGATTTATAGTTGCATCTCTTTGGGTTCAACGCCCACTTATTTCTAATCTTATGTGTGTATATCTTTATATACACATATTGTGGTTGACTGTGACCTTTTCGGAAATCCTTCGGAATCTTTCTCAGGCCGTGCGTGCAGATCCATACACCGCAGCGTCACATTGCTCAAACTCGAGCCAGCGACTCAGCTCCGTCGTGGTGCTGACAATGGGTGTCCTCCAGTTCCGCAATTTCTTGCACTCAATTAATATTAATATATAATTATATGTATCTTTTTCGTTTAAACCAAAAAGAGGAGGATCTTAGGATGAGTAGGGTGAAATTGAAACGGAACCTGATACCCATGCATACCTATCTCACCTTGCTCCTTTCATCGTCGCTAGCGCAATGGGTTGTCCTCAAGTACCACACGTGGCAAAATGAGCAGAAGAGCGAAACTCCAGAAATGATGCAACAGCAAATATTCAAATAGTTTCAAGACTTTTTTTGTTGAACAAAACAAGAAGGCATACTTGTTGCCTGTTGAATCTATTTAGAGGAAACACTAAGTTTTATTACCAGGCTTAATATGCAGTTGTTTTAAATAAATTGATAATCTCACTAGAAGTGATGCTTCGATTGGCCAACAGTGCAAAGCAGACAGAACATATGGGCAGCAAAACATGTGCCCCAAATCCGGATACTTCTACCAACAGAGAGACTTTGAAGGCAGGCGACAAACCACCAGTAGCAAATCCAACTCTTCAATGTCTTCAAATCGACAATTTTCAAAGCACATAAACTTCAAGAGACAACATTTTCTCTGAAACTCAGGCAGAGCCCCCAACGGCCCCAACATTAGATGGTTGATGATGGTTGATCATCAGTTTCTGAAAAAAACAATGGCCAGGAAGTGGGGTGTGCACGGTGTGCCTCACATTTCAAGCCCACGGGGCCCACTTTCACAGGTTTCAATCATGGAAAAAAATCGAGTCCTGAGGTGATGGAACTTGCTCTTGCCGCGTGCTCACCCTTGTACGTGGTGCCTTGGCTTGCGAGTGTCCAACTTTAACCAGTTTTTTTTTGGCCTTTTCCATCATGGGGAGGTACCCTAAATCATCGGTTGTTTCAAACTTTCTGGTTTGTGTTCGTGTAATTTCGGATCATTTTAGGGATGGTATTTTTTTGGTTTGGACTTCGGACACAGTTCTTTTGGCATCAGAACTACCCGGCAACGGGGTTTTGTTCACGATACCCTCAAGCCATGCAAGTAAGGTGCCAGGTTTGCGCTTTCTGCTGCTGGCCAGGGACCCGGGCCAACGGGCACATGACGAGAATGATCATTCACCAGTGGATACGCCCAGGCTTCAGACATTTGCATGTGTGGACCTCAGCTGGTCAGTTCGACCCTCACGCGAAGGAGTTCGCTGCACGAAATAGATTAAATCGACTTGACCATGGCGAAGAAGTGGTGTGAAAGCAGTACTTGAAGTACTTACCTCTGAGATCCTCTGAGGTTGCTCACTTCCAAGATGGATATTTGGCTGCTCCTCTTGGCAACAGCCTTAGCACCTCTGAGCTTTGAGTGGACGAATCTGGCAGTTTCGTGTCAGAGGCTCCTATTGTCCACAGATAGTAACTTAGTAGCTTTGTCTGCCAGCCTGAGTTCCCTGTACTTCACTGCAGAGAATACGTAAATCATCGTAAATCCATTTCATTGTAGAAGTGGTTTGTCCTGTTTCATGAACTCAGGGGACGACAAGAATAACAAAAGCCTTTTTTTGGGTCCTGTCCGCCTGTCCCCGTTCAACTCCCCCTCTGGCCTATCATCATACTCTTCATTCTCCTCCTTCCCCCTTCAATGTTGTTCTTACCGTCATGATCATTGCTACGATTGTCATAGTCATGATCATTTGTCATAGTCGATCTTTCCGCCTCGCTTATCATTAATTGTCTACTAAAACCTGTTGCTCTTTCATTGATTTATCACCATCACCAGATGAATATATAGTCTAGTCATATCGGAGTCATATAGTCATTATCATCTCTATTTTTGGAACCTTTATCTTTTCATTTTTTTTCTTCAAAAATCACATTTTTCTTATCGTCATCGTCATCATTGTTGCCACCATCAGCATCAAACATGTCAAATATGTCCGAAGCACTTTTTGTGTAAGAAAATGGAGCCACCAGTCCTCAATGTGGTGAAACAGATGTCATCGCATCGTTCTGATCCAGAGCCGTCTTGCCCAATGCGGCCATCATTTTGACCGTTTTCCTCTTGGTAGCTCCCAAAATTGCCATTTTCATAGGGGAAATGATGATCAGCCCATTCAGGCATCAAATTCCGGGGAGCCCCATTCATCCCCCGCTCTCAAGTTGGTCCCAACCTGGGGAACTCAGAGTTGCACAGTTTTATCAGTTTTATCAGTTTTATTAGTTTCATGAGTTATATATATATTATATATATATCTTTTTCCACACTTTCCCCTTGTTTCCGTGTATCGAAGATTTGGGTCGCGTTTCCAGGCTGTCGTGCTGCCTGGCATTTTGGATGCAGTGGTGGCAACTTCTTTGGCCGTTCCGGTGCGCCTGCAGCGACGGTACCCCATAGGCTGTTGAACTGGGGGGTTCACAATTTAGTTGATAACATTCGTATCAGTACAAACCATATTAACATTGGTAATGGTGGATTAGTATTGGGGATAACAGTATCATAATGTTAGTAAAGCAATAATAAAGCACCCATATGGATTGATGGTTTATAAGTTTTTACCACCCATTTATGGTAACATTTGGGATGGTTTACTATTGCTTTACCAACCTTATAGCTATCACTCTTGGAGGGTCCCTGACATTAACGCCAACCCAAATGGGGATCAAACCAACCAAGATTCTTGGGTGCCCACTACTTAATAAATAGGATGATTAGCTTCTCATTTCACAATTATATGGGACATGTCATCTATACATTGGGCACGCTCTACAGGTTTAAGCCTCAGTAATCCCTGGCACAAGGAGTCTCCCATGAAATGAGATGATGGTCCTAAGGAGCGGGGTATTTCCCACGGCCATGTTCAATTAGCGAGGGTATGTCTGGATCTCTGCTCTTGAATTGTGACTCTCAGCCCTATGTCCCCATTGAAAAGCAAAAATCAAGTACGTCTTACCTTAACCTTTGACCTGAAATAAAGAGCTGCTTGTTAAATATTCTTTGACAAATTCGGTCGTCAAAAAATCTCTCTAAAAAATCTCTCTTCCTCTGCAGATGTTGCTCTTGGGGCCTGTTGGTTGGTTCCTGTCCTTTGCCAATATGGCTGCTGGACTGGTAATAGTGTGCACGCCTCAGTTTCTGCCTCCGAATCTACCAGAATGTTTTCATGAAAAGCTCCGGATTGTTGAACCTTTTGGGGTGTTGAACCTATTTGGCTGCATCTGAAAATGGGGGTATCGGTATATTCCAAAATGTCAATTTTCATAGGGAGAACTAAAATTAACCAATGGATTTGGGGTACCCTATTTTCAGACAAGTTGAAGTAGAGACTCGCATTGTAGATCATTGTAGCATGTGCTGAAGAGGTGGTGACACATCGAAATTAGCAAGCTGCAGTTGGCTGCGGGTCAGTGGGTTGGGAACCCTTTCAAGAATAATTGGCGACCCCCCATAGACCCTGGGAATCAGCAAAGAACTCATAGCGGAAAGTAGTCTTGTATGCCCATTTTTCGCAGGGTCTGTATTAGTTGAGGGATGGGTTTACCATCCCCAGCTGAGCAAAGGCCCCTACTCCATTGCGCAGTGCGGCTGGGGCAGTACATGCTTGGTGAGCTCGAAGATCGCAGCAACTACCGGAACTATTTGAAGGAGGTAAGGATTGAGCAGAGAAGATGGAGGAAGTGGATGATTGTGACAAGTCCAGTGTGTTTTTGAAACCATTCTTTTCTGATGTAAAATGTAAAACTTAACTTAAGTCCCATTCGAATGGCGATTGCCATTGGGCAAATATCCTTAAGTTGTTTCAAAATTGGTCATCATGTCTCATGAATTTCAATACTATCCCAGAATTTTGTGCGAAATGTCCTCCGATTTTGGGGTCTCTGGGGTATCCGACAGTTGAGGTGGAAGCTGCTGTGACTTGGGCGCCTTGGATATGGCGATATGTCAAGAGCTGTTTGTTTTATGAAATGGTTGGGGTATGAGTGGGCATGATCATATTTTTATTATCATAAAATATGATCATGTTAAATGGTCAGTTATATCATGAAATATTCCAACCATTTTATGAAGTATCCCATGAGATAAGTGACCAATTTGATATGATATCATTGATATCATCATAAATGGTCTGATACCTGAATTGTGGGTACCTTCAGACAAACCCTGCATGAACCCTGCATAGCGACCAGTTTTGTTTGGTGTGAAAACCAGGGGTTTTGACGCTTGGCAACAAAACTGTATCTAACAGATGGATGACTGGTGGTTTCCGATATTTGGTTGTCTTCACTACGTATGGTAGTGGGATGATTATTTATGATGACTATTCTTTTTTTTCAGGTGTGCCGAGACAACGTATATAACTGGTGCAGATCTTGGGTCATACATTTGATTTTTGGGATTGACTTTTGGCCCAGCATCAAATGCAGTTTCTGATGTCTCCCCTAGCCGTAGGTCGGTCTATGAAGTGGGATGGCAGGTATATCATATGATTGTTTCTACTTGACTATGGAAGACCGGAATTAGGCATGCGTGGTCAACATTGCCCCACAATGGAATATATATATATATATATGGAATAGTGCATCAAAGATACGACAGCATTCCTACTGGGAACCAGTGCCTCGGACAACAAAAAAAAGCCAAAACCCAGTGGTCATTCCGCGTGAGAGGTTTTTTCATGAAATCCCAAGGGTAGGGCCATCCGATGGATCAAAGCCATAGGATTTCCATAGATGAAAAATGTCACACACTGCTGATGAAAATCAGGGGTGCACCATGGCAGGTTGGTTTTTGATTCATAAACATATTTTCCAGATGCTGATGAAATCCACATTCTTGCTGGCGACGTACCATTTCTTGAAGTAATTTTATTGGATTAAAAACAATTCCGCCCAGTATACGGTAAATACAAACCAGACGAGTCTCTGGTTTAGTGTTTGAATCCTATTCATTTAATGTAAGCATATATCTATATCTATATATGTACTACAAATGTACTGTATATATATATATATCTCTCTCTCTGTATAAATATCTATCTATCTATCTTTCTATCTATCTATCTGTCTGTCTGTCTGTCTGTCTCTCTATCTATCTATCTAACTATCTATCTATCTACCTACCTACCTATCTATCTATCCTTCCTACCTACCTACCTATCTATCCTACCTACCTACCTACCTATCTACCTACCTACCTACCTAACTATCTACCTATCTATCAATCTAATTAATCTATCTACTCTACCTAATCTATCTAACTAATCTAATCTATCTAACTAATCCAATCTATCTAGCTAATCCAATCTATCTAACTAATCTAATCAATCTAACTAATCAAATCTATCTAACTAATCAAATCGATCTAACTAATCTATTCTATCTAACTAATCTAATCTATCTAACTAATCAAATCTATCTAACTAATCTAATCAATTAATCAATCAATCAATCAATCTATCTATCTATCTATCCATCTATCTATCTATTTTTCTATGTATATATATATACAGACTAATTTTTGTACGTGTATATATATATATATATGTACATACATACACATGTATATACATATATATATATATGTATATATGTATATGCCTACGGGTTGAAAACCGAACCAGCGTTTTGCATGTTTCTATGTCTTTCATGGGGCTAACGGGGTGGGGTGGGGTGGGGTAATAACGTTCATTTGCACTGCCTGACATACATGATGCTACGCTGCTGTACGTCTTTTTGCACTTCCTCACATGCATGATGCTACGCTGCTGTACGTCGTCTTGCACTTCCTCACATACATGATGCTACGCTGCTGTACGTCGTCTTGCACTTCCTCACATATATGATGCTACGCTAGTGTACGTCGTCTTGCACTTCCTCACATACATGATGCAACGCTACTGTATGTCGTCTTGCACTTCCTCACATATATGATGCTACGCTGCTTTACGTCGTCTTGCACTTCCTCACATATATGATGCTACGCTAGTGTACGTCGTCTTGCACTTCCTCACATACATGATGCAACGCTACTGTACGTCGTCTTGCACTTCCTCACATATATGATGCTACGTTAGTCTACGTTAGTCTTGCTCAATGGCAAAATTTGGACGCATGTTAGCGCTTGGCAGTGGAGATGGGAAAACAGTTCCCACAAAAACCTCTCCAAGCTCACTGCAGAAATTGGGAAGAACACTTAGCGCAGAAAAAAAGAGAGTGCCTCTGAAGTTTTTTACATATCCAGTGAAAAGTACGCGCGTACTCTTTAAGGAAATTGAACTTTGAGAGAGATGCAAAACCACTGTGATTTGTGGTATGAAATCAATGACGAACACTGCAAACGTTGAAAACGCGGGTTCGATAAACAACCCGCCGGGATGTATATCTACTGTATCTCTCTATAGCGTCTACATCTATATATCTATATCTTTATATATATACACACATCCAATTCATAAATATACATATCTCCATATCTCTATATCAGAATGTATTTATGTATCCATGTCTCTATATCTCTATATCTCTGTTTCTATATGTCTCTATAGTAACTTCTGTATATCTACATATCTATACATATACATGTATATGCTAGCGGGTGGAAAACCGCGCGTGTAGTCGTGCTACTTTTTGAATATGGGGGTTGGGTGGGGTGGGGTGGGATATTAACGTTCATGTACCATGCGTACATACGTGGATGCTACGCTGCTGCTACGTCACTGGTCAGCGGGTGGATATTAACGTTCGCGCGTGTAGTCGTGCTACTTTTTGAATATGGGGGTTGGGTGGGGTGGGGTGGGATATTAACGTTCATGTACCATGCGTACATACGTGGATGCTACGCTGCTGCTACGTCACTGGTCAGCGGTTGGGTGGGGTGGGGTGGGATATTAACGTTCATGTACCATGCGTACCCTAAACTGACCTCTGAACACAATCTGCTTCATGAAGCTTGCAATCACAGTAAGGGCATCTTCTGCATCACCAAGAAAAAGAAATGGGGAAACTTGCTAGTGCACACCGGTGGCATCGATGGAATACAGCACATTGATTGAAGGGATTCATCGCTGAGACGGGTTCATCTTGGTTTTTGGGTGTTGATCTTCTTATCTTTGGGCTGGTGGTGCGCGAGTTGTGATCGATGAAGTTTCTTATGATTTCATCTGATCATGTCGAAGATAGTTGATTACCACAAACGATTCACAAACAATACTAATCGATGGGTATCGTTTGATTCAACCCAGTCGCTGTGATTGTCACATCTTTCAACGAAAGCATTCTTGGGAAAGAGTCTCGGTTTCATGCATGTGTTGATCCAGCGGCCGTCGATCATCGCTGAAAGCATGTTTATCTCTTCCGTCGTAGCTTTTCGCTCGAGGAGTTCTGATTATAAGTTTCCTCCAGCTCGATCTATCAACCGCTCTTGCAATGCCACCCATGTTTTATACGGATGTGAAGATAGTCGTGACGAGTTGTGGCGAAGTCAGGTGGAAAGGTGATCATGACTGCTGGTCGGCGGTTCACCACCTTCATATCAAGCTGACCGAGTCACACATGGACGAAACATGCCGTGGCAATCACGAGTGGACTTTTGAACTCAACTCGACCTACAAGAGGGCTCCTCGTGGAGGCATCGAGTTCTGCAAGCAGTGCGGGTGCTTGAACGAGTTGACGCAGACTCAGGTCCAAGGCGCATGTGAGTACGGCGCGTCATTCAACCCTGACGGTCGGTTGCTTTGGAAAGCTCACGTGGCGAAGTGGAGAGAATCATCTACCCACATTGGACCGGGTGAAATTCGTGCACGCACCAATGTCGATCAAATTTTCGGTCTCGTGCATCAGGATGGCCTTCCTAAGCGTGCGATTCGCACAGCGCGAAGGCTGTTTTTTGTTTATTATGCTGATCATGGTGACCATTGTTGTCGCACGCGAGCCGACAGAGTCTTCTGCAAGAACTGGACGGCGCACCGGCGCAACGAATTTTTGAAGGAATTCGGCGACTATCTGCCCTTGCCAATCCTCTTGCTGGCTCGACGCCTGAGGACACAGAAGCGCTGGCGCAGATTTAGCATGGACCGGGATTATCGGCGGAGCCCGAAGAAATTGCTTAAGTCTTACCCTCGCGAATACCGGGGTAAGCTTAAAGCCCTGGTCGCTGACATTCGAACTCTCGATCCTGAGGTTTGGCACAGGGATTGGAATTTGAAGAGAAGGCACGAACTTGCATTCGAATACGGTCGCTTTTTGACTAAAATGACTAAAAGACAAGTTGAGCGCCTTCTAGCCTGCCCTGAGCACCCAAGATCCAGCAAATAGAGTCAATGATTAGAAATCATCGGTTTGATTATACAATCATCAGTTTTTCATGGAGCGATGAATCACTATAGTAGTGTTCAACGTTTATGCGCTGTTGTTCGTGGACGTTGTGCTGGAAGCATCTGCAGGATCGGGAGTGTCGATTTTTGAAAATTGACGAAGGTGAACGTTTGCGATGAACCATTGTGAGATACACAATGTATGCGAATCAAGCTGGTCTTCAAGTAAAGTCATGCTGTGTTTTCATGAAAATTCACCTTCGTCAATCTTTTGCTGAGACTTGCCTCAGTCAGTTGGTTGGCGCCGAGTCGTTTGAAGGCGACGCCTCTGACTTTGGCAAGTGTTTCACTCCGATTTTGCGTCTCCGAATTTTGCGTCCGAGTCATCAGTCATCAGCAAAAAGCATTGCAAGCTCGAGCTTCGAGGCGGGGAAGCCTGAAACGATGAAGTTGTACTACTTGTGGAATGCTTATGTTGGCACGGTTGGTGTTGAACGCTGTGGTTTTTCAATTGGATCAGTCGGATCTTCAAACCAAAACCGGGGCCTATAGTTTGGTGTTGACTCATAGTCGGGAATTTGTGTGCGTTTTGCCTTTGGATTTACTTTGCTTGTTTTTTGTTTTTTGTTTCCCCCTTGTTTTACACGTCACCATTTGCTACTGGCGATTTTTGGGTTGAGACCCGTTGTTCAACCTAGCGGGGTTTGACATATGTTGAGATTATGACCCATTGCTCACCCTAGCAGGGTTTGACATAGGTTGAGATTAGGATCCTTTATAGCGCATGCCTTCGCCCCCGTTTTGGAGCCCACATGTTGGGACCCGTTGTTCAACCTAGCAGGGTTTGACATATGTTGAGACTATGACCCGTTGTCCAACCTAGCGGGGTTTGACATATATTGAGATTATGACCCGTTGTCTGCTCAACCTAGCGGAGTTTGACATATATTGAGATTATGACGAAGTAGCCGACGCGTACCCGCCTCCGTACCAGGACGGCCCGGAGAACAAGCGCGAGGCACATGCCAAAACACTCATTCGACAATATAATTAGGCTAGGAACCCTTCACGTTGGGAGCCGAAAATGTCATAAGCGAACGATGACGGTTAGTTCATGTCACCGATTGAGTCCAGTTCAAGCAGACATGAAGAGCGAGCGACGCACTCTGTCGAGCTCCATGTTCTCGCCAGGACACCGGCACAAACCTGTTTTTTTTTTTTGCCCCTGGCTGGCAGGGCCAAATGAGGCTCCGAGGTCGCTCTGCCAAAAGGAGCGGGGGTGCTGGTGCACCGGCTGCAGGCAAAGCGTGCCGCCAGGCGGCGCGGCCGAAAGGGCCTACGTAGCAGACCTCCTGAAGCGAGGCTGCTACGATGCTGGGGAAGCCAGCACAAAGCAACTCCTCCAGACGCTCTCAGTGGTGATGCAGAGGCTGGCTGCGATACAGAGAGCTGGTCTTGTTAATTTCGGGAAGGGAAGAGCCCCGGTAGGAAGATTAATCCAAATTATGTTTTAAAAAATCTAGACGCGACGTTCTGTTGCGTAGTTCTGTTCCTTTTCTTTAGGTCTTGTGCATAGACTTCATTTGTCTAAAAAACCGTTTATATTCTCAGCTTCCAGGATGCTCACTGGTAGTTGGCAGACCCTACGCTTAGAACATCCCAAATTAACCCAAATTATGTTTTAAAAGATCTAGACATGTGGTTCTGCGCCTTTTCTTCAGGTCTTGTGCATAGACTCCATTAGGCTGAAAAACTTGCTATATTCTCAGTGTCCAGGAGGCCTATAGCATAGATAGGTGGCAGAGTCTACAGTTAGAACATCCCTGGATCTCAATTATATTTTAGATCTAGACACGTAGTTCTGTTCCTTATCCTCAGGGCTTGTGGATAGATTCCATTTGGCTGAAGGACCTTTCGCATTCTTCGTTTCCAGGATGCCCTGCCCACAGCTAAATATAGACTCAACACATACAACATGTCATGTATGTTTTAAGATACTAGACGCGTGATTCATCGTGGTTCAGCCCCCTAGCTTGAGGGCTTATGCACTAACTCCATTTAGGATTTGACAATTTTTGAGCCCCACATCAACCAAAATTAAACACTACTATTGAAACCTATGATTTTTGACTACCCCCAGTAGGTAACCTACAAATCACCAGAGACCTTTCCCATTGCAGCAAAGACTGCTTGGGATATTGTTCCGGAAGAAAAGGCAATGTGTTTCAGCAGCAGTGAGGGGAGAAAGTGTTCTAAGTGTGGTGTTCACATTGGTATTTGTGTGTATGCCGTGCAGATTTACCAAAGTCACTGAACATGTTCTAAGTATATGGTCTGTTTATGTTCTAAGTATGCAAAAATCAATCGAAATGTTCTAAACATATTTTTTTTGATGTTCTAAGTGCGCACCTAGAACACTGTCCCATGTTCTAAGTATGTGTTCGTTTATGTTTTAAGTACGGGTTTGGAAATCTCGCAAAAATTAATGTTCTAAGTACAAGTCCGTCAGTATAAGTATCTTTTGTAAATGTAAATGTATATTACGTATTATATGTAGATAAGAATATGATATGTAAAATGCATTTGTAAAAATATGTAAAAATACATGGCAAATATATGTGGAAACGTTTATGTTAAAAAATGTATGTAGAAGATATATGTAAAAATGCATATTGTATATGTATCTGTATATGTACATGTATATGTAGATGTACGTGTACATGTATATGTATATGTGCAGCGTGCATGCCTCTCTTGCAGATTGCTGAGCCCATCATGACTTTACGAGGTTAACCCTTCTGTCCCTTGAAATTTTCTATTCAGTGCTGGATGTTTAGGCCGAGAAACATCAAGCGCTACTTGGGAACGATGGCCGCCTAGTCCTTTGCGGTCTCTCCGGCTTGTAGATTTGGCCAAAATTGGTGAGTTATGGAGTTATGGACAATTATAATCTCTATGAGTGTATCTGGACATGGGGGACGTTTTAATAGGGGAAAATGATGATTGACCCATGGATGGAATGAGGTATCCCATTTTCAGACAAACCCAAATCGTAAATTATCAGTGGGATAAAGGACCACATGAAAAAGTCAGACGTGGCCATGCCATAGGATTGAATTAAAACAATTTGGCGAACAGGAAAACCAATGAACATAGCCTTAACCAGGGGAAGACTTGCTGGATCCATGTCTTGCCTTCTTTGGAACCTGGGGGTCAAACCTTGGCCGGTTGCCATTTGGGTATGTGTCAAATTTCGCAGCCATGACGAAGGAGAAAACTTGATTTATTCGCTTCCGTGCTTGCAGCCATCCCATTCCAAGTGTATTTTCCCCAATTTTAATTAGCCAATGGAGAGCCCGAATGTGTTAAGCAAGAATCATTGGTTTGATTCTTTCAAGAAATTTTGGAGAGAATCTTGTTAAATACTCTTAAATCCCATTAAATTAATTAAATCCCTTGAATCTTCGTTTCTTAAGCTTTTCCACGAGCAAGTCTTCCGCTCGTGCCATGGCAGGCTACTCCTCCGGAGGTCACGTGGCTTCTCTGTACGGCCTGGAGCAATGCGTGGTCCCAACCAATGGCCAGGGTCCTGGCTCCACCATGCCATGGTGAGGAAAATCATCTAGTGAAACTGACCATAAAACATGGGAGGTTTTCCGATTTGAGACAAGACTAGTGGTATTCATGCCCAGGCCAAAGATCAAGGGTTGGGGGGTTGTGATATCCCAGAAACATGATTTACAATCGACATCTTTGGGGTTTTCCAACCTTTTTTCGGTCAGTGTAAGGTAAACGCCGCTTTGAAGCTGTGGTCTTGGTCTCAGGCGCGGCAATTGGGTTTGGGGCAATCATTCCTCTTTTGAGACGAATGTATTCATATATCTCAGACAACCCAAAAAACATCTAAATGAATAAATGAATCAATAGACAGTAAAACAAGTAAATACTTCACTAATCAAAAACAATAAACGCCTAGCGATCGAACGAAGGAACGAACGAACGAATGAACTGACAAACGGACGAACGAAGGAACGAACTAACTGGCAAGCTAACTGACAAACTAACTGACAAACTAACTGACAAACTAACTGACAAACTAACTGACAAACTAACTGACAAACTACCTAACTGACTAACTAACTAACTAACTAACTTTCTTACTTACTGACTGACTTACTGACTGACTTACTTAGTTACTTAGTTACTTAGGTTCTTAGTTACTTAGTTACTTAGTTACTTACTTTCTTAATTACTTTACTTACTTACTTAGTTACTTAGTTACTTAGTTACTTAGTTACTTACTTACTTATTTACTTACTTACTTACCTATTTACTTAGTTGCTTAGTTATTTAGGTTCTTAGTTACTTAGTTACTTAGTTACTTTCTTAATTACTTTGTTACTTTGTTACTTAGTTACTTAGTTCCTTGGTTACTTAGTTACTTTCTTACTTACTGACTTACTTACTTTACTTTACTTTGCTTTGCTTTACTTTACTTTACTTAACTGAACTGAACTTTACTTACTTACTTTCTTACTTACGTACGTACTTACTTACTTACTTAGTTAGTTAGTTAGTTAGTTACTTACTTAGTTAGTTAGTTAGTTACTTACTTTCTTACTTACGTACGTACTTACTTACTTACTTAGTTACTTGCTTACTTACTTACTTACTTACTTACTTACTTACTTAGATACTTACTTACTTAGTTACTTACTTACTTACTTACTTGCTTACTTACTTAGTAGAAAACTTCAGTAAACCAATCACAAATCAGCAACACAAATTAGCAAACTAATTCAACAAATGAAAAGATGAATTAGCAAAACATATTAAACAAGTATTAATTAGATATTGTACATGACTAGCTAGTTAGTTCAATAAATGCATACATAAATAATACAACTACATATACCGTCATCATATATCCCAATCCCTGGGGTTTCATCGTGATATCCGCCAAGTGAGGGATTTTTTCCGCCAGGCATCTACGACTTGCGGACCGCGAGCTGGGAGGGCGTCAAGCGATTTCTGGCTCCGATCCACAACATGCTCTACGGAGAGCCAAACTCAGCGTATGCGCTGGGTTGGACATTGCTATGGCAGAATAGTGGCACCTGATATTCCACTTGTTGACATATAGCATGACATATAGCATCTATCAGCATCCCAATTGGAGAAAATGCTGATAGGTGCTATATGTCATGGCGGTATCTGGCTGCTCAGAATGTCATGTGATTCCATCTCCTGCGAAATCATGTTTTCTTGGGGTGCTTTATATGAAAGGGGCCTTGGATTCGTATCATATTGTTGGTTAGGAATGTCCCATTAAAGCCCATCAAATTCCATTTTATGCCTTTTTCTGGATGCTAAAATCCCACATTATCATATTGTGGTTGGTTCTTAAAATGTATCATTGTATCATATTACATCTGTTTTTTGTTGATTAAATCACCAACTATCAACCAACTATCGTTGAGATTCCTTGGGTCACCGCACACTCCTTGCCGCCAAGGACATCATTGCTGCCGACTCCGATGCGAAGCGCGCTCAGGTGTCGCCGGCCGCAACTCGGAACCAACCAGAAGGTGTTGGCGCTGTTCAAAACGCTTGTTGGTTGATAAATATAAGGGATCATACGAACCAAAATATTGAGGATGATTAAAATCCATGAGTGGGGAATCCCATTTAACACGAAGTAAACACATGCTTTCATATGGGGAAGATGTCACTCCCAAAAATGGTGAAAGGGATTTATGGGGCATATATGTTTGTATGTTGGTTGTGATATACTTATGTTGATGTTCAATGTTTGTTCGTTGGTGTTAATGTTTCTTGCGATGGTTCCGGGGCAGATTTTGACTGAACGCTTTTCGGGCATGATCGTCGCCCGCTTCAAAAACCAAAAATCACGATTCAGGATTCAGAAACCAAAATGTACGATTCAGAAACCAAAATGACAGCAACCAAAACTGAAGCGATTCAGAAAAAAAAACGTACCAATTCAGAAACCCAGAAAAGAACGCGATTCAGAAACCAAAAAGTACGATTCAACATGTACGATTCAGAAACCAAAATTCGATTTAGAAACCAGCACTTGGCTGCTACCCCCTCTGACCACTATGTTGCATTTTGAACATCACAAGAGATCAAAACCCCGCCAGCACCCCTCTGACCACTATGTTGCTTTTGGAACTTCGCAAGAGATCAACACCCTGCCACCCCTCTGACCACTAGGTTGCATCTTGAACTTCACAAGAGATCAAAACTCCTCTGTCCCCCTCTAAACATGATGTTGTATCTTGAACTTCACAAGCAAATCCAGGACGAGACATGATATGATGGCCGATGAGAAATATAAAGCAAAAGCGCAGCAGTGACCTGCAGTGGGCATGTTTTGGTTTCCTGTCTAGACTTTTTGGTTTCCGAAGAATCCTTGGTTTCCGAAGAAAGGTCTTTTGGTTTCCGAATAAGCCTTGGTTTCCGAAGAATCCTTTTTGGCTTCCAAATAATTTTGTAACCTTTGGTCATTTTATATTTCAGTTGTGTTTCTTCTTTTGGGGTTTCCTTTGTCACCTTGTCTGGACGCAGCACCACTTCCCTCTGCCCTGTCCTCATCGGCTTCATGATTCCCATCTGGAGTTTGATACATTGGTCTGCTGACTTGATGATATGTCGGGCTCAGAAGATACATTGGTTTGTACATGTCTGAGTATCAGTGTTTGGCACGCATCCTTCTTTGGCAAGCAGCTTCAGAGATGCAATCAAAACGTGCACGATTCACATTCACCGCAGCAGTGCTCAAGTGTGAGTGTCAGAAGTCACTACCAGTAGTACCGCACAAGGCGGTGGCGGAAGTTTCAAAAATAGGAAACCTATAGGAGCGGTTGGTTGTTGTGAATCACGGATGGCAGAGCGAAGCCACTGATGGACCGAAAGGTGCTTGAGGTCTCCTCTCTTTCTCTCTCTCTCTCTCTATCTGACTATCTATCTATCTACCTATCTATCTATCTATCTATCTGTCTATCTATCTATCTATCTATCTGTCTGTCTGTCTACCTATCTATCTATCTATCTCTCTCTCTCTCTGTCTGTCTGTCTGTCTGTCTGGCTGCCTGCCTGTCTGTCTGTCTCTGTCTGTCTGTCTGTCTGTCTATCTGCAAGCTTGAAAACGAGGCTATTCTGCGAGACTTCCCCAGTTGTGAACTTGACAACATCAGAAACGCAGCAATTCAGCGAGACTCCATTCTGACTTCGAAATGTGCTTCGCGCCACAACACCATACACTTTTCGACATCTCAACTTCAAAAAGTGCTCCGAACGTGAGGTGCTTTTAGCTTTTTCACTTGCAAATGTGCTTTGCGCCACAACGGCGTGCAATTTTTCATCTCGCATTTGGCCAGCTGGCTCCGCACGTCGCTTTAGCAAGCCTACTTTTCGACCCTCCCGAGCCACAAATCATTGGAAAAACACAGTGTTTTGCGACTTTCCTACCTTTTCGCAAACCTGGATCTTCTTTCTTCTGAGACTTTCTCTTTTGTGATCTTCTTTCTTCTTCTCTTCTCTTCTCTGACTCTTCCCACCTCTGCTTTTCATCTGTCCATATTGTCGGAAGTTTGAGTTCTAAACTTCCTTCGATGATTATTTGTAAGGAAAAGCCGTGTTAGGCCACAGTCTTTTTGTTAGCTGTCTCATTGCCAAATCCTCTCAGCCCTTTCTTACAAGCAACCCATGAAATGATGAAATGTCAAACTAGCTGTGTTGCCAACGCACAATAAGCCGCGCCCTAAGAGAAACAAGAACCAAGAGAAAGAGGAGCAGAGGGCGTTTCCCTCCACAAATGTTCAGAAGTGTGATTGAGAATGGCTTAATCGATTCAAAGCGGCCTTGGTGACGCTTGTCTTCGGCCCAAAAGAGACTTGGGACAAAGAATGCGCGCCTAAAAACGAATCTCAGCTATCTCCATAATTCTCCCTACATGTATGCATCATAGTTATATTACACGTAGGTATGCATACAAATAGAAATTAGAAATATATAAACACATAAATGCATAAATCAACGAGTCAATATTCGCAAAAAAATGCAAACAAATAAATCAGTATTTGTATATATATATATACATACGCATTCGTATACAAATAGAGACTTAAATAGACAGACGCATGAACCAATAGATATTTGAAAGTACACATAGATAAAAGTAAACACGGATATAGGTAACTCATATAGACAAATAAATAATCAAAAACATAGAGACATAAATAGATTAATTCATTAATTTATTTTAAATAAATAATCAAATGAAGAATGAAGAGGTAAATAAATAAAAAATCCAAATATACATACATACATACATACATACATACATACATGCGCAAAACCAATGTCTCCCTGTCGCCTCAAACGACATGATGCGTCCATTGGTTCCTGGAGAAAGTAAAGGGCGTAGCACCAAGAACGTGTTACAATTTCCTGGAGCAAGTTCAAAGCGTAGCATCATGAGTGTGCTTTAGGTTCTTCGAGGAAATTCCAACCAACAAAGATTTATAGAAAGAAAAAACATTGGAAAACATTGAAAAAAAAACCACGTCCAATACATCGAAATGCGGCGAGACTGTCCTGCCCCTTGCAGCGAAAATGAAAATATCATATAGTAATATATATATATATACACACCTTGCGACTGCACGGTATTGGTTGTATGCGAAATAAATGATTCCGAACAAAAATCATAAAAGTAGATGAAATCTGCATGACAGCTGCGTGAATCGCTGTGGGCCAGCCAATTTTGACACAGACTCTTCTTTTGGTTGAGTTGGATCCTTTTTTTGGTTTGGTCCAACCCCGCCATGTTTGTTGGTTCAACCTCTTTTGTGACAGTAAACCTTCCCAATCGAATTCAAGACTTGTTTCTCATCGCTAAACCCAATCATTGCTTGTGGAGATTTCAATTTTTGCACGCCATTTCCATGTTTAATGAAACCCCCGTTTCTGGGAGTAAAACCGTATTTGTCCCGATGAAAAATCCACATGGCATCCCACGAACCAAGAGCATGTGGACCTGGCCCAACAGTCTCCACATGACTGGTAACACTCCCGTCTCCGGCTCAACCACCGGGTCGAACTTCTTGGTTGCCCCTTCTTCGCCTTCCACCTCTACACCTTCCATCCCACCGCCAGATGTGGTGCCCGGGGGTGCTGAAGGAGGGGCCCCAAGCAGGAAACCAACGACCAACACCGTACCTTAAACCGTGGCAAAGCTTCTGTTCCAGCCAAGTTCTGATCATGATGCTGTCTCCAGGAAGTTGCAACAGGCTCTTGACGCTACACGCGGAACTTTCTCACTTTCTCCAGGAAGTTGTAACATGCTCTTGATGCTATGCTCTAAACTTTCTCCAGGAAGCTGCAACACGCTTTTGATCCTTGCCCGGGTACTTAAACGCAGCCGTGAACTTAGGCAGTTCTGCAAACGAAACAGCAAAAGGATCTGGATCCAGACTGTGCTTGGTGGGTCCTGAATGCCAAGAAGGATACGCCAGGGCCATGGGGGTGGGGTGGTCTCCGAAGATTTGCGTCGCCAGCAAGGTGAAAGGAAGTGTAGACAAAGGTTCATTGAATTCAAACATGCGCTAGATTCAGTGGTTTCGTGTGGATGATGTTCATTTTGAAGGTGTTGATAATATGCAGGTTTCCTAAGTCAAAGGGGTACCCCCACATCATCCAGTCATTAGAGCATTTTAGTATACATTGAAACCAATGGTGACTTGGCGATCCCCAATTAAAAAAAACCCTCATATATCAACATCCAGCGTTATACGGCGCATACTTCAGCCCACAGCAAGGAGCTCATGGGTCTTCCGATCTTTGAAGAGATCCTCTTTGACAGTGGGGCATGTCGGTGGGATTCGAATCAATGGGCTGGTTTAAGGGAAAATCTATAGGAAACCAAAGTTTTTACCACGAAATATACCGGTTTCCGGCAGATTTTGCCTGCAAACAATTCTGGGAGAGAAACGTCAACAGGAACTTTGCAGATGTCATTTGACCCCCCGGTCTCTTGATGCAGTCAGTATTTGTGTGCGGAAATCATCCTCTCCCCCAAAGACGGAACATCGCCAAACGAACTTTGTGGTATAGTGCTGGCCCTATTCATTTAGGTGGCTCACACGGGGGACATCTAACATCAAAGATATTAGCTACATATCCCGATTTCCAGATAGTTAACGCATGTCAAACCGTCGTTTTTGTTTTTTTTGATCAGGTTACAGAATGTCAAATCATGTTTTTGATGTTTAAACTTTAAACCATGATTTTTTGATGCTTTGTGCATTTGTGCTTGCCACGCGTCGCCATCCGTCGCCATGCGTGGAAAAAATGTGGCATGGTTTTCAGGTTCCACATTGGTGGCAGGGCTCAAGGCCAAAGGTGCCACCGTGAAGTAGCTCGGTACAGAAGTGGCTGCGTGTTTGGGTGGTGAGTTTTTTTCCCCACCAAAGAATCATGGGAATTCAACCCCCAGGGCTCTAAGAGATGGTTAAGATTCACCCTTAAAATCGCAGCTGTTGGTGGATAAGATTCGCCCTGAACTTTACCCAAATGGCCCAGTTTTGATCTGTAGAAAGTTTTTTTTTCATCATTCCTGGGGGCGCATCCCAGTTAAGTGTGTAATCAACTATCAACCCATATACCGTATATCCATATATATATATCCCACATATTATATTAGCTGGTCTATAACAGGGTTGTCACTGACTTACTAAATAGGGTGCATATCAAAGTAGGACAGTTATAGTGAAGCCTCCAAAAGTAGACCATGTTATGTAAACCGACAGTATTTCTGAGGCGAGCGGAGTGCGGCTACAATCATTGGCTGCTGGTTTGTGACCTCAGGAAGTCTCTTTGTGTATTGCTTGGGGTCTTGTTGGGGATTAACATCTAAGAAACTATATGAAACTATATAGTTCCTTGGCTGAATCGAACTCCCAGTTTCTGAATACAATCGTGCAGTTTCCGGTTATACCCCGGTCAGGCCCAAAATGGAAGATGCCCTCGAGAGCAACAAATAGCTTCAGATCTTGAATGGTTTCGGGCATGAAAATGACACTGAATCAGTAATCAGTAACAGTCCCAGCTCCGGTGCAAATTTTATTTATTTTGGACCTTGGGTCATGGCAATGCAGAATTTTGGCAAACTTTGGGTCTACTGTTTGAGTATCTCGTCTAAAGCGGAAAATGGCGGAAAATGGGAAAATGGTGGTATCTCGGGGTTCCCAGACTTTTTCGGCTCAGCACCAGTTTTGGGCCCTGAGGTGTTTGGTTTTCCGTCCTTCGCTGCTTCGTTCTGCGAGGGATTGTCATAGCTTAGACAAAAAGGTGCTGTTCAGGATCTCAGCTTCTGAAAGTTGGGTTGTACCTGTAACAAATTGGGAGCAATCTATGTGGTGTTGCAAGGGTAAATCATGGATACATGGTGGACTTTCTGTTGATTTTTTTCCCTCAGAAGGTACCTGAGAAACTGAGAGAACTCGCACACACACGCACACATTCTGCCAGAGGTAGGTGTAAGGGCACAAGGTGGTGCAACCATGAAGTGAGGCTTGCACAAACAACTGCTCTCAGGAGTGCGCAAAGGGCTGTACCGCCTGTGACATTTTGGCTTGGAACATACCCCACATCATCTCGAATAGCTGCAGTACTCAGTAGGATATTTCAGATGATTTGCAACGGCTGGAATGGCAAACAGAAAAAAGATGATCGTCAAGTTATTGTACACAGGCTTTGATCAGACTGCTGGGTCTAGGAGTCATCCATTCTCACCAGGCAAGACTTGTCCAGCGGTTTGCGCCAGGCATCCCACTAGAATCATCGGTAAATATCGGGGGAAGATCGGGGAAATGCTCCCGCTTCGGACATGGTCAGCCGGCAGCCGAAAAAAAGCTTTGATCCGCCACAGAGATTCCCATCTTGGCATGGGCCTGGTATGTCAGTGGTTCGCCTATTGGCATGGACAGCTTTGGAACGGGCCCCAGATGCGCACTGCATCGCTGGGAGATTGGGACCTGTGTCTCAACCTTCAGGTTGTTGAGATGGGTTCGTCTATCAATGGGGGCTTCCGGGACCTGAAAATCATCAGTTTTTCTTCGGGAAAATGATGATTAACCTTCAAATTTTGGGATACCCGTGGATACCCAAGTTTCAGACGAACCTAGATAAGTTTTCCCAGAGTTGCTCAGGATTCTGGAAATAGATGAAACTATGTTCTTGATATTTTTGGTCGCTTGGGTGCGACAGTTTGGTTGGAAACTTGGGGTGATCGCCCTGCTCAAGTATATAGTATAGTCACAGTATAGTGGTTCACAACCCTATTTGAGGGACAAAAATTGGGAGACTTGTCACTTGAAGTTTGTTGGAGTTTCCCCTGAAACAATTATGCTTCAGTGGAATTCATGACTTGGACCATGTTTTGCTCATTGTGGTGATTCGCACTAGCCGTGTTCAATTTACCGCTCAGGTCCTTTGCGCAGGCGAGGCGCCACAGGATGTCGGGAGCCTCGAGCTGGTCACCTGCGCAACTTTCATGGTGATCCCCATGAAAGTGGCAAATGGATTGCAAATGGGATATCCACCCATTGGGCACTGATCCCAGTGGCCCTTTAGCCACGCGAAGGCCAAACTTTTGGAGTACGAGGTAAAGGCCTGCAAACACACGTTGCTCCCCAGCTCGTGTGAGCCTCAGTGCGTTGCAGATGATTGGCGTCCCAACTGTTTGCGGATTTCCAAAAAGACACATGGAAGTCCCCAAGAAATTTGCCGTGAGAAGAGGGTTTCCCTGTTGGACGCGATCTTTAAGATGCCAATGGCGACAGCCACGCAGATCAGATCTGGAACTGGAACAGCAGAACCAGTCTGTTTGCTGCAAGGGCTCCGAGCTCACGAAGTCTAGTTTCCCCTCAACAGATCAAACAGATCAAGATATGGGTATGGATCAATACCTATGAAAATACCATTTTTAGAGGGATGAACATCCATAAATCCCAGCTATTTTGATGTGAACAGAAGGGGTACAAGGTTTTGACCCACTGCCATATCCAAGACGCTCTTCCAATGTTTTCCTTCTGACATTTCTTTGTTCACTGCTGTGCCATTGACTTTTGGATGTCGATGTACAAGGTGTCCCAGGTGTCCCAGGTGTCCCAGGTGTCCCAGGTGTCCCAGGTGTCTAAAAAATATGTTGGTAAGGTCACCGTAAGGTCCTGACGAATCTATCCATTTGCGACTTGCCAATCTTGCCATGGCTCCAGCTCAGCGTTTGCACCACTTGCACCACTTGCTGGTACATCTTTGTGCAAGCGAGGAGGAGGAGGAGCATCGAATTCCTTGGCCCACCACTAGCGAGTGCGTGACGGAGGGAGTCAAGGTATTTGTGCCTTGGAAAACGGAAAGATGGGTGAGAAGGTGTCAGATGATTGCTGGAGCTCAAACATCGCTAATTCAGGCTCTTAGAACCCCAATCTGCGCCATGCATAGACGTTGATACCCCCAAAAAGTGCAACCCCAGAACATACATTTCTATTGTTCAAGAACATCATTTCCTCAGTTGAAACGGAGTAAACCCCCACTTTACGGACAAGGAAACATGGGGGTAGGATGTGTTGAAGTCGAAACAATGTGTTTGCAGGTATATCCCCCATTCTAGAAAGCCATAGGAAACGAGGAAAGAAAACGATATTCTCCACCCACCCATGTTGGGGAACATCTTCTATCTTCGATGCTTGAAATGAATGGAAACCAAAAGGGTAAAACCCAATGGATTTGGGCTGGTTCAGATGGAGATATCACGAGGCCTCAAGCTCCTACGATGCTCTGACCTCGCGACCTGAGAAGAAGCATTGGCAATGGAAATATGCCGTCACCTGGAAGCTCTTGGACATTGGACTGTTTTCTTTGGATGCTTTTTGGATGTGTTGGGGATCTTTTGGAGAGGTTTTTGTGAACGTTTTGGGATATTTTTGGTGTGCTTTTGTACCATCCCAATTGTTGTGCACATTTTTGGTGTGCTTGACAGCTTTTGCATATTCCTCGTTGTACAACTGATACAACTGGTATACAGATTCGTTTTTCCAACTCAGGTAACCATCTCCAACGAATCTCAGCAGTTGATCCAGGTGCTGAGCCGTCACTGGATCGTGACGGATGCCACAGGCAAGACTTTTCAGGTGGGGCCCAAGGCCTACGGCGTCGTCGGGCAACAACCCATGTTGAGACCTGGGGAGTCCTTCAGATACACCTCGCTGTGTCCTCTGGCCACGGAACTGGGGACCATGCATGGCAGCTTTGAGATACTGATTCTGGAACCCGTCCAGATGAATGGCCAGCGTTTTCAGGCTGAAATCGGGCGATTTGGTTTGACCCTCAAGGGGGAAGGATGCCATGATGCCCATCGTCATCGGTCAGATCTGAAATGGTGTTCTCTGTGTTTGCTTGTGAGGCCTGAACATCAGCCGCTGTTGCCCGAGCCTTGTAAATGCATACCAGTGTGTGATGAGGGCCCTCAAGGAGGCCCACCTGCCACGATTCATGGACCTGCCGGAGAGTTCCCGCTGGCCGCTTGCAAGTCTTGGGCCCTTCTGCCAACCAGCAGGCGAAATGCTTCTTGGGACAGCACTGCAGCTTGCAAGGCATCGAGGGGGTCAGTGTGATGATGGACGACTAGATCATGCTTCGCACTGATTGTGATTCTGGTCCCATGCTGCTGGGAAGTCCGGGTGATGCTATTGCTTCCCGGACTGACACTTGGAGCTTGAGACGTCTCGGACCGCGAAGCGTCCTGTAGGACGACCCCCAGGGATTGTTTCTGAAGCCGGAGATTTGGCAATGGCGAGGAAAAGGATGGGATGGTCCAAGGCTTAAAGTGCAATGGACAAGCCTCCGGCAGCCTCCTTCTCCCCCTTCTGAATCATCAAGGATCATCCTCCTTACTCATGGCGCACCTGCATAGGCCGCCTAGGCCCTGCAGATGCGAATGTTACCCGATGCTACCCTGTTCAAAAAACCAACCCCAGCCAATCTGATGAATATGCGATAGAGAACCGCTGGAAATAGGGGTAGCCTCGCACTCATGAAAGTGGAAATGGACAACCAAGAAACGATTAAGCCATCGCCAACAAAAACATTCAGATACTGTACATACCGGTAATCAAACGCGGCTGGCAAATCCACCGTTGATCATCGATGAATTTCCCATGAATAGCTCCATTTACCCATGGCAGTTTCCAGCCACGTTTGATTACCAAGTGACGACTTCCCAGGTTGGAAAGCCGTGCCTTTACCACTTACACTGGCGAGGTGGAGAGCACCAGGGCTTGGGTAAAGTCATGGTGATCCAAGTGAAATGCTGGTCGTTTGTCCATTAAATAATGTCCATTATCATATACTGTAATAGTCATTGATAAATGAAATCAAAGAAATCAAAAAAACGATGTAGTTATGACAATTATGAGTCAAATGAACTCATGGGGGGAACTCCTTTCCTCAGCTTTGAGGATCAGCCTGCTGGATGACGATTGCAGCCATGTTGCCCCATGGTTATTGGTCATGCAGACCATACAAGGGACAATTTATAGAATAGCCATGGATTTTGTGGTCAAAAATAACCATAGACCAATCATTATGGAGAATAACCTTAGAAAAATCACCATTGGTTTCTGTAACTTTTGCTTTGAATCACCCCATTGATACGCCACCGATTCGAGCAACCGAGCCAGGTGCAGGTGCACGACGTTTTTGGTCTACCCTCCACTGTCAAGAGGCCAGTAATGCTGTGGAGAGGGTAGGTGAATGGGAAAACAGCAATTGGAATCTTTGCATAAATGGTTTTAATGGGAAAATGATGGGGAGATTTTCCATTGCCATGTAATCATGTAATACAGTTCTGGCCATTTTAGGGAAGGATGCTCTTCACTGAAGTGATATTTTAGGGGATCAATGGGGTTTGATGGACCAGTGGACCAATGGCCTGGGTGAAAGCAACGAAATGGCACTGGATGCGAGTCTTTTTGCGTCTCCTGAAAGTTTCATCCGTCGAAATCCTTCCTTTCTTCGTCTTTCTTCTCATATTATGTTTTTCTTTTTTGAGTTTTTGTTGCACAAGTCTCATGGTTGCCCCGAAAATCTAAGCATCGATTTGGCTATCCGTATCCCGATGATCATTGCGCGCAGGGGTTACCCTTTTGTTTTCAACTGGGAGGCATGTTGTTCGGCTGGATGTCGCTACAGACTCCTTGCTGACACTGCAGACCGAGGCAGGTTCTTAGTTCATTAGGTTGCATCACATGGGTATGAGTCGAGCGGGGCAGTCTCA